CACTTTAGATGAGAAGTTCCCACAACTTGGAAACCAAGTCAGACTTGATTCATCAAGCAGAAGAGGTCAAATCAAAGACGTCAGGTTAAAAAGGAATTTCTTGAAACGAGAGATCAAAACAACGCGTTAGTAATAAAAGGTACGATAAAGAGTGTCGTACCGACAAAATGCCGCCCATCTATCCGTGCTCGCTATTAAGCGCACTTTCCAAGTCCCTGAACGTTACAAGGAATCATCACAGCTGAATGAGCCTTAAAAAAGCACAAATATTTTGGCCACTTTATGTAAACGTCTTGGTTGAATTTTATAATGCCCCTCAAAGTTTACACATCATGAGGTGGTTGTATTTTGTCACTAGACAACACTTTTTATTGGAGTGGGAGAAAAAAATTCAACTGAAATAAGGCATAGGATCAACATTTAAGTTTTTATGAGGTGAAGTATACACACAATTCAATTGTAAAACGTTTTCCATTAGTACTTTACTGCTTCTATTCTACGTTTGCTTTTATGGAAACTTTACTGAGAAAGTGATTCCTCCAAAAGATGCGGCTACGATACACTCCGTAAACTTCTTCGTGTTCAAGTTCTACGGCCCCATACTTAACTGATGCTGAAATTTTGCGTTTGGCCTCTTGCGGATCATTAATGCTTAGCATTAAGGCATGGTTTTCTAACTGGATAAAAACGAACGAAAGTATCTCACTAACTAAATGCAACTATTAAATTAACTAGATGGGTATATTTGAATTCGTCCATTATAAAAATAAGTTAGCGTTTATCATTGAATACTTGGTAAATGAAAGGCAACTAAAAATTGCAAAACGAAGGCGTTTTGTGTTTGAGAACCAAGGAATGGAGTAAGGTTTTTTGAAGTGCGCACAATGCCAGTAAAAGCATTTAGATGATTTGAGTGGCAAAATGACTTGTTCATTTGGGTCTTTGAAGAAGATGATGTGTCCAAATTTGAACATCACAGAAATCTACAACTCACGAATGCCAAGGGCATTGCTTAAGTTGCGAACAGACATTATTGCAGAGTCTTATGCGCTATTTTAAAGGTTCAAATGAATAATATTTGGTGAAGACTATTGCAGTCGTATGAAGTGGGTAACACAGGGCATTCAACTATTTAACAAACGCTAAAAGGAATCCTATTACGCAGTTATTCTTTTTGAATGGAAAGTTGGGATGTTCTTCATCAAGTTTGCGCTGTGTGTTTACGTTTTGTTAACCTTAAATCATTTTATAAGCAATTTGTCTTATGGTATAAATTTCATGCAATGCCATCAATCCCATTAACATTGATTCCAAAGCCCACTATTTAAAGATTTTTATTCGTCAAATACGCATCAAATATAGGACATTTATGTAACGAAGTACAGGAATATATTTATACAGAGCTTTATAAATTAAAAAAGTTTTACCTTAAGTGAAACAGTGCACAATACTTCCTGGCCTGTGTATTGCAAACACACGAATAGAGAAAAGATAAATATAAGTCCATCAACGTACAAATCAGTAGATCTTTCTGGGGTACGGCCAGATTCTGCTTCGACTGCCCACAGCTAGAACTTCAGCTTCAAGGATCCTGTGCTAGTTAGCACTTCTGCATTTTGTGTTTGCTGTGCCGTGACCGTCGTCATAGCCTCGGAGTCAATGTTCTTCTGTGAGTTACTCGACACAGCTTTATCCCTCTCAATCGACGTTGGTCGAAAGTGGGGAGCTAAGAGTCCACCCCTTCTAGCTTTGCTTCGGCGTAAGTGTTTGAGAGGGTGTATGAAACCCGAATCCGTCTCCTCCTTTGTCCTGCGGGTCCAGCAGCATAATTTATGCGTCACATTAACCAACAACTGTTTGCAATTTCGCCGAAACCGTCTACCAATCAAAATATAAATAAAAAAGTTGCTTGCACAGCCTACAAGCACAAGGACAAGAGCGGCCGGGTAGGCGTAGTAAGAGAGGTGTTCAGAGGTAACAAAAATTAATGAATTTTCTACACTGGTTGTTTCGTCTTCATGTACGTTGCAAAGACGATAGATGAGATTCACCATTTCAAACAGGAAGCACACTGTTGTGGGCGTTTCGCAGATTATGAAAATGGTGACTACACCAATCAGCGTAAGAAGAATGCTGCGGTTGCTTGAGTTCATGCCTCGTTGCCGCGCCTCTGGTCCGACGCTGCTGGTACCAATCCCGTCCGGAGATATGTTGGTCCGGCTTAGGGTTTCCACTGATTGGGGTAAGTCCACTTCTTGGTTGTTTAAGAGCTTCACAGAGTGGTTGCGCCGTAATCGAAAGGATGTGTGGAATGCCAGGTTTCGTGTAACTGTCATTTGGTCAATGTAGGAGAGCGTATTGCAATTTAAAGGCGAGGCGTCTGAGTAACACACATTGCTGTTAACCGAGGCATTAGAGCTTACTGTCTTGCCTCCAGTCCATTGACCATGAATGTGGCGTTTGGCGAAGCGACGAATGCGTAAAATGAGCCCCGAGTTTAAAAAGACAAGAAGACTTAATGGAATGACAAAGGAGCAAACCTGATCAAGCAACTGGACGTAAAGTAGCTTAAAGGTGGCGTACCATGATGCGGCGCTGAAAACGGGCTCGAGTCTATAGCTTTGGCACTCCGTATTCCACTTCAATATGCGATAGTCGAATATAAGGTTGGGAAGCTTAAAAATTCCTGAAAGTACCACAATTATACGAAGTCCACTCTTTGTCCTCCCCACTGAGCAGAGCCGAGTGGCTTTTAGTGGCCACCTGATAGCAACATAGCGCTCCAAGCTTAAGAAGATCACGGTGTAGATTTCGATCATTTTAATCCAATTCACCATGTAAAAGAGAGGTGTGTCGATGTAGCGCAGATGTCTAAGCCAAAATATATTATACGTTTCATAGTAATGCGCGGCAATGTAGTAGAGACTGTAGAAAATTATTATCAATATGTCCTCAATCGCAAGAGCTGTAAGGAGAATGTGCGTAGGACTCCGGCTTTTGACTCGATAGTTAAGGACAGTGAGAGCCAAAATATTTGCGGGTATCCCGAGAATGGCAATGCTGAGACTGACATGTGTGACGAGATCATGCAAAATTCCGGATTCGTAGGGATTTCTGCAATAGGCAGGCAACAAAGTTTGATTAGTGGCATTTTGGATTGCTGGCATAGAGACAGTGGAAGACATTATGGAACATAAGTCCCATACAACACTATTTATTTCCGCGTACAATAAATTCGAGAAATGAAACAAAGGATCGAACTTGGTGATTGACTCTTATATTAAGCTTGTGTTGATTTCGCCATTCAAACATCAGGTTTCACTGATTGGTTTAAAGCACAACTAGTGTTTGCGAAACCAGATGACCTGCAAATTTGAACCAATCATCGTCTAACAGTTTCTTTTCATTGTGTACATTGGAGACACGAGTGATCTGCGTTTTCTCTTCGTTACTTTTAGAACGAAAATCCCCACCCCCTTTTTGACTCAACTAAACCAGGCTTGGTTAGGTAGAAAGCACTCATTTTCCTCATCCAATCTGTTCAATCATTGAAACGCCTTAATTCCTGCTTTCCAGTGCTTATAATGCTGAGAAATTCACATGTTTTTTCAACAACTTAAAAAGATTTCCAGTTATAAATAGAAAAATAAAAAACCTGAAATAAATTGTCCAATTTATGCCTCACATAGGTAACTATTGCAAATAACCTCGAATAATTCATCATACTTAATTCGTCTATTTTTTTGTACTGTAAATTATAGACACAAAAACCATATGCAAGAGGTTGAAGACAGCATTTTCCTGACATTTTAGGCCGTTCTATCCCTAAAATTCAAAGCTAAGCATTTCATCTTGCACCTCAATTTAACCCCGAAGAGCGAACTTATATGGAATAAGGTAGACTTAAAACATTTATTTATGACTACGAACATTATGCTACATTATATTTCGGCACTTGGAGATCTCATGTTTATTATAAAGTTAAGGGGAGCGAAAGCTTGATTTGCCTAAAAATCACACAGATTAATTAAAATTTATACATTATTTAGCGAAGGATTGTGGAAATCTCGTGCGAAAACCAAGATCTGAGTAATTCTTACCCTTTAAAGTCAGGAGCTCCTCCATTTAAGCAGTCGAAATTACATCAAGATGCAATAAAAACATTCTGAGGCCTTCAAGTTATCTTGAGGAGAGATTTTGCAATTAATTGCATATAACCTGATCACTAACCTCCATTTCTTCCGTCTCCATATGTTAATTAGTTCCCATGGTTTGCCCTACATAATGTTCCTTTTGTAATTACCTAGCCAGAAATGCAAAATAAGGCATTTTGTTCGAGATGCGTGAGAGACTTGTGTATCCATGACTCTTGGCGACTTTTTCCAGGGATTTGGTTTTTTGACACGCCAGTTCGTCATCGCAGTATACGTCTGTTTCAACAACCATGCTATTTGGGTCCCAAATATGGCTGGCGACTTTCAACAAAAATTTTCCCTCATATTCTAGATATTTCGAATCCTGTAATGCCCTTCAAAGCTGCGTAACTTTTGCAGACTAGATTTGGACCAGTGATTCATCCTAAAAATGCCAAAATTTCATTCTTCTTTCAAATTATAGAGTGCAAAATTCCACTCAAATTGTAGCAGGGCTATTTTTAGTGACTTAATTGTAAATAACCGCGTTTTTTTAAAATGCATTTTTGTCACGCCTTCCTGTTTTCCCTGTAAATACAAAAAACGGAGAAGCACGTTTTTCATACGTCTTGTTATCTGTTGTTTGAGCCTGCTTCTCTTCGGTGTAATTTTGAACTGCAAAAAAACCATACTCCAATTGGTATAGATATGATCCTTTTGGAGTTTCGAAAATTTCAGTTATTGCAGCAGATCGACAGTTCTGGCATCATGTATTTTTTTCCCTTGACAGACTCCTACCTGTCTGTTCACACTTTAATGAAATTGTCCATTTTAACCTTTGAGAAAATAGTTAGAAGTGCATTTAGCAGCACAAGATATTTCCCTTCTCTGGAATCCGTGTGAAACATTGGTAGACTGCAAATTATAGGAGTCTTTATGTCACTATACTTCAATGTGCAAAAACCGCCTGCTGGCCTAATGCAGTCCTCTATGCTTTGCATCCGTACCACACCCTTATCACGATACCAAAGCAATTCCCGCTAATTTGAAGATGCTCTCTATTATCTGACCGATATAAGCCAATTCATCACAGCGCATAATAAACCCGAACAGACTAGCAATTTGGCATGGAATGCACAATTAGAAGAAAGAATTTCTGAGGAAAATTAGTTGCATGTATATGAAACCCATCATTGAATTTTTATCAGCATAGAATAAAAAGAACAGTATAAAACCGACTTGCAAATTGAGAACCGGTAATTCAAAAGGGAACGTTGAAAGGATTATTTAAATGATACATAAAAATGTTTATTTTTATCGTTCAAAGAAGTATGCTGAAGCCAGGTAAAGGCAGGTATAAGTCTAAACAAGTTTGTCGCATTTTGCACTTTTACAGCATTCTCTTCTAGTTTTAGAGGCTTTTTAGTATCTGCGTCTCAGGGACTGCAGTTGCAATAACTTTCTTTACAGTGCCTGCAGCTTTTAAAAAACGGTTTTAAATCACTCGGTAAGATTGGGAATTCGGCTGAAGACAACCAAGTGGGTACTTACTCTCCTTGCAGTTTAACTAGTACTTTCAAAATCATGAGTTTAATGTTATAAAATTTCTCGACATTTTTATGTATTTTTCTAAATTCCAAAGGTATAAGTATGTAGATAACAACTCAGCGCCAATGGTGCGTATTGACGACTGCGTCGCCAAGTAAGTTTGCGTTATAGTCTTGCCTAGATTTTAAACAGTGTGATGTTTCTATTTTCATAAGTTTGACATATATGAGATAACACACATGTTGCGTACATAGTTTTCCGTCTCGCCAACGCACCAAAATAGTTTTGTGCTGCCTAATAACGTGGTGCGAAGTGTCGCAAAGCGGTGAAGACTGTTTTCAAGGGGATTTTCAAAAACGCTGCACGAAACCACCGCGGACTAACGCGGGAGACGACACTCACACCCACAAATTTGTTCAACCCGTCTCCTTCCAACGTCTACAGCCATCAAACATGATTAATGTACTGTGGATACTTTTTCTAGTCTAAATACTCTGACTGGAGCATGCATTTGGGAAACATTCTACGCGTTTAATGTTGCGTCTGCCCGCTTACTTCATTGACTATGGCGTTATGCCCATTAATATTTCCTACACCCTACTGAACCCGCAAAATTTCCCGCTTAATGACATTTAAATTACACCTTTTTAGAGAATCGTGGAACCTACTAAGGAAGGCAAATATTTAGGCCAGTGCGAATTTGGCTTAAGTGATATTGGTTCCTTTGACCAACCGGAATGCCCTTCGCAAATAGATTTTAGTGCTAGAGGAAACTCAAATAATTTTTATTTTCGAGCTAATTTGTCTTGCTATCTCATTAATCATTGTAGAAGTTTGTACACAAGCCATTAACTTTCCGCACACTTCGTGTCCCAAGTTCGGGCTGTTTGCAATCAGAGGGTGATCAGTAGGCAATTGCTATCCTCCTCATGGTGTTAGAGTTGTGATGCCCTGTTGCTCGTTGTTAGTCTTTACAAATCAAAGTTAGCCTGCAGATGCGTTTTCTCAAAATGCCGCACACTGGCAAATCCTTCGGAACGCATATTCTAACGTGAAGGACAAGAGAGGCTTGAAAAGTTCAAGGTGAGTAGAATGATATTTCCGAATAAGGAAGAGCTTTATTTACTCCAAATGGGAGTATGGACATCTGATGACAGTTTGAAAACCACCCTGCCTTTGATAAGGTTAGCCCTAATTACCTCACTCTTGATTTCTATTTCGTTAAACACAAAGTGGAATTGTTAAGCACTGCTTCTTTATGAACCTGTGGTGCTATTTGTTAAGAATTTGCTGGTTTGATTATAGCCTGCATAACAGTTCCACTACCACCATCACTAGCCTCAATGATGTTTCAGCTTATCTGCAAACCTTTTGGGTGAAAGTCCCCAAAACTAATAATATCACCTACTTTTTTTCCACTATAACTTAGTTATTTGCACAATTTCCCCGATCTAAAAAAAAACTGACGTTAAATTTTTATCCTGTTGACATTATGCCAAAAAATTTAAAGTACAATGAGATAGATTTCCTGATGGAAAGGCACCGTCACTAAAACTATTTTCATTCCTTTGAGTTAACCAATCTGTTTCTCAACTACAAATCCTGCTAAAAGACTTGATTTGTGCCTTGACAATAAAATTCCACTTTATTACTTCGTAAATATGGTTCAAATATGATTCAAAATTATCTGTTTCGGATCTAAAATGCGAAAATAACCTGATTTGTTGGCTTCAATGCAGATGAGTTTACAATACTGTCGCGTTGGGGAAGTTTGGGAAGTAGCATGTCATTCTCATGAGGCGCAGTCATTTTCTCATTTGTTTCTCATTGTAAATATATCTATATCTAATTAGTCCCCCACATGTCTAAGTAACGTTTCAAGCACTTTATTTTAATGTTATTCCAGCACATTTTCTCTTTGACAGCTTATTCTGTTGCACCCAATTTATGCCTATGTACCTATTCATCGCAGTGTTTTGTGACATCATTACGTAGACGAAATAGGAATTGACTTTAAACGTGTCATTGCGTATAGGTCACGAAAATTTTTCAGTCTACTTGGGTTCCTATTTAGGGGAGGAAAAGGCGTCAATCACGTGCTTGGCCATTTTAAGTCTTGATCCCATGAATTGCGCCTTACTTGTGAGGAGTCCTCCTCCATACAATGCAGTCCCATTGTCCTTATTGCAATGAAAGGAATTTGTCAAATGTGCAGAGAGCCTTATCAGCCACAATTCAACTCCGCGATCTCAATCAAATCTGCGCTTAGATTCACGTACTTTATGTACATTCTTCTTACTTAATTTGACGTTTTTTTGAAAAAAAGCCAGGCCACTGGTCTGAAAACTATTACAGCTTTCAATATTTCTAGTATAGATTCATCTTAGCATCTTGAGGCTTTTCTGGAGTCATAATAAGTCGCAGCACTGTGGAGGAATATTTATTATTGGCGAGTTAAGAGGCTGGGAGGCTATCGATTTGGCCCTCAGAAACATAAATAAAACGGAAGTTCGAATTGTGAATATTGTATAATTATATGCAGAAAATTATTATTCCAACAAAATGCATAACGCTACCATTAGTAATTTATTCCAAGCTATAAAATTTGCCAATTTCATCAATATATTTTTAAGCTCCGACCAATGTATAAAAAACACATTAAAACACGTAAGTGTGAAACAGCTTCCTCCATGATGAGCACTATAGCCGTATTCCATTGCAGTAAATTTGCCAAATTTTGCCCTACCAAATAAGTGTAGTCTGGAGGCGCGTTCATGACCGCAGCACCTTATTAAGTTTATGTGTCTACATCGCGTGACCCATCCGTCGACCAGCCTGTCCCGCCACCTCACACACGCACGTAGCTGTTCCAACTTGCCTCCCACCTGACGCTTGTACTAGTGAACTCCCCACCGAGGGTTTTTCGCTTATGCACTGACGTGATAATTTTATTCATTCTCCTCGTGTATACGCAAATGGCGAGTAGACTGTGCTGGGAAATAAGCTGGAATTGATTGCAGGTGTCTATACGAAGCCATCTTATTTCTTCATGAAAAATCTTATTTTGGTGATAGACCTCAGTGTATGGAAGTTGCTCATTTGTCGGCATTTGAGCAGATGATTAGGCTTTTGGCATAACGTTTAATCTGTCTTCCAAATGAAGTCAATGGCCTCCTCAACTCAACTTTAATGACCTACGTGAGTTCATTTTCATTAAGGCGTAATTCTTTTGTTCAAATGTATTTGCGGTTTGGTTATTTTCATTCCCTTTTCACATAAAGCAAAGGTGTTCTCTTGCAACGCCAGGCTTCAAAAATCAACCTAAGTATTTGATAGATCTATGGGGCTTCATTACTTGCCAATTTAATTATCAGCATATACCGTTAACTTCCGCATTGTGGATGATGGGTTTATGCACTTCTGTGTCTATTTATTTTCATCTCTATAAATAAATTATTGCAATATTTTGAAAGGGAGGTCCTTTACTGTGCTAAGTCCTGCAATAAATTCAATCTCTTGCGGTCAGATTGCCAAGCTTTGTCAGCGTGCACATTTATTTAGCTAGATCCATTCCTGGTGTTGTTCTTTTATCTTTTAAGGGATTTAGGAATGCGGCGGAAAGACCCTATACTTGATCAGTAAGAAAAAAGTTTGAGGTGCATGCTTTGCTTCTTTATATTCACAACCACTGCCTTTCAGGAGGGTGGATATGGCGAATCTCGATGCACGTGCGACCGGTGCAAGGTCTCCGACATTGCCTAACTGATCTGTTACTGAACTACGAATTGCTAAATATACGCCCTTCCCTTCTGCATAACTCGGAGTAATATCAGAAGGAAGACTAAAATATAAACTCTATCAAATTTGTTGGCACGTTACCCGCATAGGTATTGCGGTATCACCGTGGGTAAATAAATCAAGAAACCCTTACTATAATCGTTCCTTAGAGGCTTTCTTTCTAAAATTATAAATGACAATATAAGGCACCCCTGAGATTAAAAATTTTTTGACAGTTATCTGGAGCTTTTACGAAATAGAAAGGAAATTTATTTTAGTCACTAACAGCTTTTTCAGGCCTCTTCAGTTTTATTAAAGAAATTAACAATTTTGGGAAGATGCAATTCATCAATGCAAAGAAAATGGTTTCCAGTAAGCAACAAATAAATTTGTCTAATTAGTTTAGGGAACTAGCCATAGTTAAGCTGCTAAAGTCTTTGTCTAATACAAGAACACTTAACTGACGTATAATAGAGGGACTGGTGAGTTAATTTAGAATAATATGAACCAATGGTGACCTTAAACTATAAAATAACTAGGGGAGCTGGATCAGTATACAGCACCAACTTTTTATCTCTACACACTGACTGTCTAGTTTCTTCAGTAATAGCTTATCCAGTGCTGTATGATAAATGGAAGACAAGTGAATGACGTGCGGTTATACATGCAGGAGGAATAGTTACATTTGGATGTAATTCGTCCACAAATCTCATGCACAATGCATAATGTAATTGGTTTTTAAAATTCCCTATTCCGAGACCTTTGAAAGGCTTCTTAAAGTTGGTTTGGTGTCTTTTCCTGGGCAACTGCCATTTTGGTACTAGCTCACTACATATACCTCTTAAGGCGCGGAATATTGACAATCACTTTTGTATAAGTTACAGGATATTTTTCATTTCCACAGATAATTCCAATTGCACTTGCGAACAAATTATAGTTTAGTAAAATTTATAGTAATATTTGATGTATTATTTGTGATAAGCAATTTTGTGAGCATTTTACAGCATCCTATCCCTTAGTTTGCACTATCAAACAGGTTAGGCCATATTAACAAAGACATCATGTTTAACGAGTCTTGGGAAATAGGCAACGAGATCGGCTACATTGCATTTGGCCAACGGGACTGGACTAGGAAAAGAAATAAATATAAACCTAGAAGTAAACTTTTACTGGTAAGCATTTATTTTTGCGAAGTAAATTTGTACATTCCCTCTGGCAGTGTCCGACTCGGGGAGCCTAAATGAGGCATAAGCTTCACTTGAATCGCCTTGAAAGTTACAACGAATTTGACTTTATTCACACAACTGAAGGATCCGGTGAGCGTTGGTTACTCAAAAACAAATTCAAGGACAGAACAAACGGAAGGTGCATATGCCATCTAACTATTGTGACATACGATTCCTGACAACTTCCCCCTTTAAGCACCCTTGTGAGGCTCTTTTTATGCAAAAAGATATTTCTTTCACCTGTACTACTCCTTTTTCATGGGATCCGAAGGCGTCATAGCGATTCCTGGAGATGACTTGTGACTTCCGAGTTGCGTATGTAGTACATTCATTTTATGTGAATTTACTATTTATAGACATCATCCGTTTTACTTTTACCAGCGTCACTAAGCCCCGTGTCATTAATGAAGTGGCAAAAATGGCTAAGGAATATTCTTCCTTTAAAATAAATAAATCTTGCTTATTTGCCGCAAATTCTGTCCATATGTTGATAAGCAGAGTTTACTTCATTAAGTGGCTCAAAAGCACTCACTCTTATCTGAGTCTGCTTATTCGTTTGTCGGGGCAAGAATGGATAAATTATTGCAGTAAGATGATAGCAAAACGAATGAGGACAGTGTTTATGTTTACCATGGTTCACATAGTCCCAATAAAGTCATCCTATCAGTGCGGATATTTTCATTGGGAACTTTTAGAGACATCCTGAATAGAAGGGGAACACTTGTTAATGCGCAGTTCATAATATTCTCAAATTGATAGTTATGTTTCAGTGTGCAGGGAAGTTAGCATAGAGTTATCAATTTAGGGAGGAAATACAACTCTTGCTCAACAACGAGGAAAAATTCATTAAACTTGCTTTCTATTGGGCACAGTGTGCAGTAATACCGTTGTCAACATCTGGACTGTTTAGTTTACAATGCTCGAGTTAGAAGTAGTAATTCCGTGTTCACAGTCTAATTTAATACCGTTTTTCAACACAACCACTTTAGTGTTTAGGCTGCTCGCGAGTCTCAAATTTGTGCCACGTTTATCTCCAACGCACATTTCTAGTTCATGTAAAAAAGCAGAAACAGGAAGCAGCATTTGTGGGGACTTGTAAATTCTCAGCCAACTGCTTGTATGTGAAAATGGCTTCAAGTTAGGCTAGAATTCCACAGATATCTTTCTACTTTTTTATGGCCGTTCAAAGCCCTTTTGCATCATCTATTAGAAGTGAAAATGAAGGCAAAATAAGAGAGGACACTACTGCTTGAAAATTGCGGATTTCCTAGATAGTGTAAAAAGTGAATTCCACGTAGCCTTAAATCAAGTTTATTGGCTATTGGAGGCCTTCAGGTTTCCCTTCATTAAGATCAACAAATGCATACCAAACATGAATTTAACCACTTAAAGTTACTTTCTGTATTTACTAGACCGCTCAGTTTTGAGAACAGTGAAGAGCAGTTTTATGGAGCACGATAGAACAGTTTTTATTTTATAAAGTACGACTTGCTTATTTTGTGAGCATTGCTGTTCGGTCCGTTACATTGGCATTTCTTCAGGGATGGCTTTGTAAACTCCTCAATTTCTAAGTTGGCTTCTGACCTCACCAAGTTTGTGACAGAACTTTCCACTTAGAAAGTACCATGAAGCCTGCCTAATACGCTATGTTCAAAGAAACCCCTTAATAATGGAATCATTCTTCTGCAAAATGTTTGTTCAAAAGTTGGAAGATTAGATGTTTTGCTCTCCAAAATTTGCCAAATAAGCACATTCACACTTTAATCTTTAGTTAATATAATTGAGTTTTTAAGCTCTTCAATTTTATAGTCCCTCTCCGTTCTGTGTTCGGCAGCCATAAACAATTGATACCATTTTTGGGCAGGCGTAGTATTAAGTGTGATCAGTCCAAACTGATTGTATTCGCTACCCCGACTATGCAGGAGCCCACATTTAACATCCCTATAATCAATCCAACACTCTCACAAGAAACCCATGCAGCAAAAACATTGGCGTCAATGGTATCGTGTCGGCATTTTGGTGCGCATCAGATCAAAGGCATTGTAGCCGCTTTTGTGGGGCTGGTTTGCTCCTCTTATTGAAAGTACTCCAAACATTGGAGATAGGATTGCAACGGCCACAACTTCGGCAGTGACGGCGACGGGAGCAAAATGCAGAGTAAGCAAAGGTCTCTCTTCTGGTGTAGGCCAGCCTAAGAACATTATTGGAAAGGCTACGAGGATTCGCTTGTCGCCTTTACATTAAATACAGAGCGATTTAACATTGGGCATTTAAGCTACTTTGATTCCCTTGATTGGATGCAAACCATTTCCTACTGCTATTTTGCGTTTAAAGGGAAGGTAAATCCTGCCTGCAATTTGGCTGCAGTCGTAAGCGGCATTTCACAATGAATCTGTGCTAAATTTAGCAGCAGTTGCTTTAAGCTCATCTTACCATAATTTGTTGGACAAAGCAAAACACTTTTATAAATTTGAATATATCCAGAGAGATAAGGAGAACAACATCATTACACATAATTCGGTATTCACCATGTAACTTGCCTTAGCTTTTTCTTCTCAGGTTTAATGTTCATTAGTTGCTTGGGTGTAGCTGCCGCGAAATATATTAGAGCAAAGTATAGATTAGTTGCAATAGCCATTCAGCTCGCCTAGCTGTGAAAGGAGTAACGACTTATGCGCTTCTTCATGGAAGGTAGCTCAAGCGTACAGTTCCAGTACTGATGCTTGCCTAACGAAATAACTCATGAACTGGTTGCTACTTCTTGCTCCAAATAGTGACAAAGTTCCTTGCAACTTTAAATGTATTAATACCTTTACGTATATTACGAGAAAAAAATGACTCGATGAAAACGGTAATTATGTTAGCTGTGAGATAGTTTTGTCCGCTACCGATAGTCCACAAAATAGTGCCACTTGTCACGACGTCATCTTAAGCAAGGAGGTACCATGATTCCATATGTTTTCATGATGAAGGCTTTTCGATAATAAAAAAGACTCGTCAAATTATGAAGTGTCAAATTCGTTGGTCCTACATTTATATTCAGGAGGTTCAGTCTGGTATTGCATACCCGCTTTGATCTGAAGTATTTGCGTAAAATCCAGAAATTGCACCCACTTTCCCACATCACTTTTCTTCTCCCGTGTAAGGACATAAATATACATTAAGAAGTGCGTACAATAAAAGCTAAAGTTTATTCCCATCCTCTTAAATTTATCAATTTCCGAATACATACTGCAGTGAAGAACTTCATAATGCAAAGGTTGAAGTTGATTTCATTCAATATCCCTCAATTTAAGTGCAAATTTAAAATGTTTTTGTAAATTCATTCACGAAATGCGTAGAATGAGATATCAGTCCGCCGAGTACCGCTGCATTCTCGTCTCGACTTTGGGATAATGCGAGTTGATTTCATGCGACAGCATTGAAAATTGTGGTAATTAGAAGGTTACAAAATCTGCTCGATCGCTAATCTTACGGGATTCAGAAAAGCAGCTAGACCCCTACTAGGGTGCTCAGGAGTAAGTTGCAGCATTTTGTCCCTGGCTCTGTTAATAGTAAACCCCTTACATTGTTCCGAAGCGGTTTCTGTGAGGGGCATACCTTTGACACATTTTTTCATAAAAAACTGGCAGCGGTAGTCTAACATTTTACCATTTCAAGCATTTAAGTGAGCTGTGTAAATTACACAGATTACTTCCCATTCACAATGAATATCCATTCATATGGTAGTATGTCAAATTAATCATTTTGTTCGGTTGTGAAGATGTACAATCAACTAGGTCTATTTACTTTAGTTTTACAAACCCTCTTTAGGAATACAAATCTCCTGCTGGAGCCACAAATAAAGGTCAGTTCTCAGGACCAGCTTCCATACTACTTTTCAATTGCCTTTCACAGATTTTGCACAGAACTATTAACCGCTGACTGTCAATGTTTCAAGAACCATTTATGCCCATAATGAGAATCCCCCTATATTTTGCGCTTAGCTAACTCAGAGGCTGTTATTTGTGAAAATTATTTCCCTGAAGTAGGATTCATCGGTCATTCCGCATTGTTTAATGGATATTCCTTTACTAGGAGCGAGGGAGTCATGATGTAGCAATCATCCCTCTTTATGGAGCAGTTTTAAGTTGCTAGCCGCGCTATGTTTGCCCTCTTTAGGTGCAAGCGCACCAAGGATTAGGTTTGTTGTTGGATGGTTCGAAGATTTCTTTCAATGGGCTTGACAGATCTCGCATCTTTTTGTACCAGGCTCAAATGCGAACAGTGAAAGTTCTTCATTGCCAGGTGTTTTCCAAAATTATGAATAAAATTTTTTCCAACCTTTTTCAACAATTCAATAGTAGATTCTGCTTATTAATACTGGACTTAGGCAAGGCAGTTTATTCTTACTATAAGCAACTTGTTCTAAGTTAGTTTTCCGTTGCTTTTTAGATGCACGTTCTTTTGAAGCAATCCTTACCTTATGTATGTTTAATCTGCCGAGGAATTGGTAACTATTCTGCAGGATAAACCACTAATCTTTATATGGTGACGAAAATGAAGGCAGTGTGTATCCCCCTCGACGTAACATAAAGCACCGTTTTCCTCCCATACAGTTTCCATTGCTACGTAAGTGAGCGCAACGTTAAGTGAAATGATATTTACAGAAGAAAATGTTAGATTTCAATACCAAGTAGATTCCACGATTAAAATTTTAGCCACTGAAGGAAGCAGTAACCCCCCTAGCCATTTGTATTTGTAGGTAGGGGCAATGTTCCCATCTTGCGGTGGATCTCACTTTTCGAAACATTCCCAGCTTACTCGGTCATCACCTTTTAAAGTGGCCTCCTGGCAAAACGTTATCTAGAAGGCATTAACATTTTCCTTCTTTTACCGTCAGCGCACGAATATAACTTACATAGTTTGCTGTAGATATTTTTGTACTTGTTTACTAGATAGTAGGACTCTGTAATGCTCCGAGTTCTGCCCCACTGTACGCTTTTACAACGCACCACCGTTGTGTCTGAACGTCATCAGTGACTTTAAGTGTGCAGCTGTGATTCACCATTCATCTCCACCTAAAACCATATGAGACAAGGGTTACTCCCACCAAACCGATGTACAATAACTTTGCTTTCAACGCAAAGCTACTCTGGTTTATAAGCTCTATTGTATCCATAGTGATGGACAACTTTAAAACACTTTCCAAGCAGCATATGCAGTGGAGTCACTTCAGTTATATTGCTCGACATTAATTAGAGTGTGTATACCGCTTTTAATAGAATGTATAACATTTTTCATAACATTTAAGCAAGCATTACTGATAAATTTAACATACCGGGTTCCTGTTCCCTAACTCAGTCCAAACCAATCCTTGATGCGGAAGCCATGCATTGTCTTCACTTTGCAATAATTACTTCTGGGTGGTTTTTGCCAATTTTAGCTACCACAGTATTTTCCAAGTAGGGAATTGTTTTGGTTTTAAACCGGTCCGGAAAGCACTTTCTGTTTACTCGTGGCGTTATATTTTAAAGCTAGAATTAGTCCTCACTTATTTTTACGGAATTCGTTACCGATTTAAAGCCGTATTTTAAAATTTTTTGCAAACTCGGGACTTTTTTCAGTTTTTTATCGTAACTGGCCCAAGGTTTCACAAATCCTTCAAACAGCCTTTTATCACATTTACTGTCTTAGTATTTTGTTAATGCAAAATGGTAGTAGTAGCTTTACAACCCCTTAAAGCGTCAAGGTTCTGACTACGTAGTCTACAATGCTGAAAATTCGCCTCTTAATGTGTTCCTTTGCCCGCATCAAAGATATTTAGTGCGTAAAAATGAAAATTGAAATGTTCATTCTTTAAAGGGTCATTCATTTCAAAAAAATTATGCCTTTAAGCCTATGTTTCCCTCAAAAAAACATGTAAAACCGTAAGTCCCGATGACTATAAATGTTCCGATTGGGCACAGAAGACAAAACATGGAGAATTGGTTGCACGTTTTTCGTAGTGCTATATCCAACTGATTACAATTTTAATAGTTACTCATTCTTCTCAGCGAAACTGTGCATAGGTATGCAGGGATTGCGTGCATGGGACAGGGTATTGCCATCCATGTATCGGCTCTGATTAACTGCGTTTCCTGTAGCGGGTAATACCAAAGTGTGATGATTTCTGTCGAAACCAGAAATTGGAGGAGAAATGAAATCCTTATCCAAGATTCGGATCGCCTCAGAGAGTAGACTTTGTAAAATATTTAGCACTCCGAGCACCGCCGGACACCCGAACCCATGTGTTATCAGATTGAAGGTAGTCAGGGAGCGCTGAGTTCCCATTAGAAGTTCCTGCTTGGTGTTCGAGGTGGTTGTCCGCCAGACCTGCCCACGACAAACATCCGACCCCATAGCCCCAATAACGTCAATGACAACTTGTCTGAAGATTAATGAATACAGGAAGTTCGTATAACTATGTAACCTACATCATTTGTACGTCCCGTTTTAAAATTCTTAATTTTTGTAGATATAGTAGCAGTGTGAGAAATAGATCGTGTTCTAAAGCCACTTTTGAGCATTTATGCATTCTGTTTCTTGTCTAAACTGAGTCGTTTATATAAACATTTCGGTTTTTCTACGATGCCGTCATTTGTTTACACCGTTGTGAATGTATACCAAAAATGCTATAAATTTAAGGATTTCTTGCTTTCAATAGTGAAGCGATAGAAATGCATTAATTTAGGTCCACTGACGCAATTACGATAGTTCTCCAAAGTGATTCTTATCAGCATTCAAAGCACGGACTCGTCTTTTCACTCTGACAACAAATGAGTGACTTGCCTAGCCGCGCAGATTTGGCTGCGTCTGTTAAAAACCGCAGCCGGTGTGCTGCAGGAGGCGCTCTTTACCAGCGCATTGGCGCAGCCCATCATAGGAAATTCGTTTTCGCAAAGATAATTGAAATCCTTCGCCAACCGGAGGGCTTCACCTAAAATACAGACGCGGAGCTTCATGTAAATCAAATCCATTAATGGAGCATCAAGTACTTGCATTACTTTGATTGCTTTTCCTTTCATCATTTTGCCACTGATGGCTTATTGATAATTACACAACATCCGCTTTGATTTTTAAAAAGTCTCAGTTATAAAACTTTATTTCCACAGGTAATTTAACTCCGAATCAAGCATCTACATTCTGTACCATCAGGTCCATCGGTAGGCTTCAATCTGACGATAAGTATCCAAGTGAAGATTTGTATAAAGTGTTATGAAGTAAATTTTCTTTATAGTTATTAACAAATTAAGCTGACGTAATAAATAATTAGGCTGGTTATGATGTTTTCCATGTGAGAGGAAGATTGAGGAGATAATTTTCGATTTGGATTCTTGTGTTGCTACTATCTTCACAAGTCGCAAAGTAGTTCAACACACATATTCCCTTCATGCTTGCTTAAAATATCAAGACTGGTATAAGTACCTTTGGTCAATCAAAAGTATAATTATGTTTGGGCAAAATCAAAAAGCCTGTAGATAAAGGGTGAAGTGTTTTAAAGTTCATAAAGTGTTGTCTCGCTGACGCTAGTTTTAGTTTTATATGGTTTATGCATTAGATTAAACATTTACCGTCTAAAATAGTGTTAAATTAAGACTTCTTGGACCTCGTACAGACTTTTTTTAGATTTCAGTGTTCGGAATTCGTAGGCAATCTTTTCCTGGTGAATTTTGTTTATGTACGGTGACACACTATTCCACTTTGCGTCACGAGTCCTACTTATTAAATGTAAGTAGCGAGAGCGCCCTTTCTTCAATTACCTTTTTCCAGTTCTTAAGTGTCTACAATTAGAATGTCATAGCAATCTAAACCGGGTCTAAAATTCATGAAAAACTGTGGATCTTGGTCAACCATTTGTATAGTGTGGCAATATGAGCAACCTTTTTAAGCAAAAGATCTGAACTTATAATGAAGTTCACTCTGTTGATGTACATCGCCAATGACCAAACTAATGGAAAAACTTTTACGCACCTTCTACTAGGGAGGTAAAGAGGGTTACTGTGGCAGCTTTTCTTCTTCCCGCCGGAAGATTGAGCCCAATTTTATCCAGTCGGTCTCGTAGTGATCGTCCACCATTCTTTGATTTAGCTCTGCAAAACAGCATTCATAAGCTGGTCTAGAAGGTATTTTTACTGCATTAAGTTGGTGAAGTAGTTTTATGAGAGTTAATATTGAAGCAATGAGCTAAAGTAGTCGAGGGACAAAAGGATTTTACTGAATTATTAGAAAATTTGTAGGAGAGGGGTGTCATGATAACTTATTCACTTTTACAATGAGTTCAAAACTCTAGGCAAACTCAAATAATTTTCTTTCTTTTTTTAGGTATTTGCTTTGATTTTACGGATTGTCTAAAGTATGTCCTTATACCTTCGTAGAACTCCACCGAGTAACGAAGCATTGAGACATTCGGGGGGCGATAGTCTCCTCTGAACCTCAGACACTGTCACTTTGTACTTCGACGTTGAGCTCAGGAGAGAAAGACGGCCGGGAACGGAGCAGAAGATGTCAGTTTGATTCATTGGTCGTCCGTTCTCGTTAGTAGACATCGTTATCCTTCCAGCTGGCTGTTTCGGTCTTATTGCTGAAACTCATGGAATGCATTTCCAAAGCAGTCACTCTCCTGCTGTGGCTCTATTTACTTTATCCTTAAGGATGGTGCAAACATATTTAGAAGTCTCACAAAACTTAGTAAAATTTGTTAGTAAAAAAAGATCTCTTAATTATTTACTTAAGGTGTCTAAGCTTGAGTAATCGAATTGGTAGATTTGAATTTTGGGAATTCTTCGATAGACTTGGATTACATTAAGGGCTTTCCTTTTAGTCCCTCTCACCTTCACATGTTTTCTACTTTTGTTATGACATTAAAGTTAAAAATTCCTCGTAATTGGATGTGGTTGCTTAGGCAGAACGATTTTAATGAGTGCACTTATCAGAAATAAGTGCTTCTGCCTACACTACCGGACACACTGCTCCTCTCTTGAATAGTTACTTCATGGCTCCTCGCAAGCCTTTTGACTTTCATCAATTCATCGGTGAATAGTGGATGTTGCTAAGGTGGTCATAGGTAAACCAGATTTGGGAAGTCTTCGTGTCAGAGTGGACCACTGGGAATTTCCCTAGATGTTACTTAAGCTGTAACAACCATTCCTATTTTCCCTACTTTTTCTTCCCAATTACCAACTCTCCGAATTCGGGCGGCCTGTTTTCAAAGGAAATAGCACGCTTAAACGTGACTTGTGTTAAATTGGGGATTTGCAGTTGAGTTGTGTGGTGTTTATTCCTTTTCCTATTTAGGTAACCAGTAATTTGCAGCCTAACATTTAAGTTAGTTGATTTTATCAAAGCTTCATTTTTTCGATCTCCTTAATGGTTAAGTTCGAATTTGAAGTTTATTTATCGTTGAATTGTGCAGAAAGAGGATGGGGAGGAAGTTGTGGTATGGCCCTGCTCAACTAGGACTTCCGATACTTCTCCTCCTTAATGCAGCCCTAAGAAAGTGCAACTTTCCTTCTCAAAGGAATTGAAGTAATTTCCACTACTGGAATCTGCAGAAGTAGGTAAGTTTACACACTTGAAGATCAGCATCAAATCTTATCCTTTAATTAGAAGAGCTTCATTGCAAATGAACTATTCTTTCCGGTTGTATCAAAACTACTTTAAGGAGAGCTGGATTTTTCATTTTTACTGAGCTTCTACCATTTATTTACTTAGACACAATGATTTATTACTTCTGGGATTGCTCAGAAAGCGCTTTTATGGACCAGAATTACGTTTTACTTCGTTCTCATTTGACTGTTTAATCCTGCTTCTTATTTATCTTATGGTCGATCCAAATGCAACATACATTTCATTTACCTAGGTTTACGATATAGATTCAAACCTTACATTTTCGACTGGATCCATTTAAATGGAAAATACCAGGTGGTGCTGCCTTCACACCTGATTGCGCTGTATTAACATTGATGCTGGCAGTGGCAGAGGCAGTGGTAATGATGTGAGTGAGCTGTTTTCCGCCATTAGCCTCGGTATACCCTAACTGCCTGGGCAGATGGCGATAGACGTGCGAGAGATGGTAGAAGTTGCCTGACCCGCCCACCTCCGAGTTCGGTGGGAGAGAAAGAGAAGGAGGCGTCGCCTCCTCACAGTAGACATGGCGATAGCCACCGATCTGGAAGTTTCCTAGCTCCCATGCTCCGGGATAAAGCGAACCCCCGCCGACGGCTTTCGTCTGTGGAGAGTCCTCGTGGCTAGCTACGGTGCTCCCTACCGAGGACAAGACGCTCCCCTGCTCCTCCATTTGATTCGCCTCGTTCATGAGCTGCAACCAGAACACACAACTTGTTCGGATTGTTTGATTCCTACCAAACCTAGTCCCATGTTTATTCCTGTAATCACGCATACAATCACTTTAAAACGATCGTTTCTATGTCCCTTTATCTTAAGTTATCACCTATCTTTTCCCACCTTATAAGAATTAGTTTTCCTATTCATGTTGTACCGATGTAAATCCTAACTCTGTAGCATTATTCAATAATGTGATAAAAAAATTTTTTCAGAAATGGTTTCAAGTTGAATTGTGGCTAGAACTTAAATTGATTGATCCAAACAAGAAATGCTCTGGGGTATTGCTAACTCAAATTGAATTTACCCCTACAAGAAGAGGAAATATTTTGACTGGCACTATCGGTGAGTAGGTAGGCAGCTGCTGTGGGGCATCCTTGATAAATTCACAGCTGTATTTAAGCGCAAATCCTTGATACATTATAAAGAAATTCTGTCACTTTCCACGTTTAAGTAGTGCTTTTCGTTTTGATTAAAAATTTTGCATAAAATCGTTGCGCAAACCTATGGCTTCCTCATATTTTTAAGAGTATTTCTCCAATTTAATGCACGATTAATTCGTGTGAAGAATTTAAAAGTGTTTTTTCCTACTCCAACTCTGTGGCCAAAAAGAGTTTTCTTAGTGATGTAGTTATTTCAAAAGATCACACAAAGATACCAGCTATGTTACGCATCTACCTGGTAAGAGGACTCCATTCTGTTCATCTCCCCCGCATGCATTGCATACCCGTGTGGATGTGAGCTCAGACCCTGGAGGTAGTGTGCGGTTTTCTCATCATCCCGAGCGTCCCCATGCAATTTACCGGCAAAGAAGTCCTCACCTGTCTGCGAAAAGGCCTGAGTGGTCATGGAGGTGGGGTGAATGACGGCTCCCAAATCACCTGACGGATTTCCACGCTGAAGGATAAGAAGACTGGTGAGTTGGCCTCTCCTCACCGCCCCTCCTCCAGTTTTCTCCTGAGTGCGCATAATTCTCATTTGTCATTTGTTTTATTTCTTCATTTTGAATCAACTGGCTCTACGTTTCTGAGGCTTAAATCAACGTATTCAGCGGCAGTTGTCACTTTTAGTCATTTTAGATTGTCTAAGTAAATAGCGATTCAGATTGACCTTTACCTAAATCTTTGACTAAGTATGCTCCCATCTTATCGCATTTAAGCCCTTTCATTTCCTCTGGAATTTTTCAACTCAATCTTGTATTAATCTATGTCTCGTCGCATATCACCCGACTTCAATACGTAAAAGTATCGTTTTAACTATTTTAGGAAGAGCTTTGTGAGCTAAGTGGAATAAATTGTGTTAAAATTGTTGATTTTCTTCCAGTGAAAAGGCGTCAATCTTCCCCAGTTTCATGAGTAGTGACATCCAAAGGTACGACTCACGGACGTGGCAGTAGTGTTGCTCCTGGTCAGTGCTCTCGGGAACATGAGGTCGCCCAGAGTCTCATACATTTCATTGGGGCATATGTTGGTATATCGAGCCAATTGCGACGCGCTCATCATCATGGAGGAGGCTGTGAGAAAGGGGTTTGTCTCGCTTCCTCCGGCGTCTATTGCAGTCATCTGATCTGTAGAGCATGTGTAGCTGAAGGTGGAAGGATGCACGGCCTTCTCTCCGGACATGCCGACTGGAAATCCATTTATGGCGCATAAGTGGGTATTAGGAGTTGACAAGTGTGTCTGTTGCTCAAATACTGGTCGGTGATCAGACGAATCTGTAAACTTCTACATAAAAAATATTTCATTGTCATTTTAACAATAAAATTGAGAGCTACTTATCATAGCAAGGTGGGCTGGCTGGTGCTGTTCAGCTTGAACTTGTGACAGGTTAGCTATACTCGTTTTCATCGGAATAGTAAACTTTGTTTCATGCTTCTTAATTCGTTTTAGTTCAGATATGTATGTTAACTTCAGCAAACACAAAAACAAACAATGTTATATAGTCATAAAGAACGCATGCTCAAGGAAAGGTAGTATTTAGTCTCGAGTAAAGTACTCAAATGTTCGACTTCACTTCAGCTTCCCCGATAATGTGGTAACACGAACGCTAAAGAAACACACTCACTGAGGTCACATATAATTGTATGGTCAAAGCAATGATAAAGTGCTAAAAAAGAAAACATGATTGGATTTTAGGACATCGGGTAGGACTTTCTTGAATGCAGTGCATCAGTTGGAGTTGGCTGTAAAATTAAAATTCATACGGGAGACTTAAAAATAAAGTATCAAATTGTTTCACACTAAACATACCTCCATCTAGTCAGCGCAATCCAAGTATCAACTGTTTGTGTCCGGCGGCAATTTTTCAGTAAACGTTTGAATTTTGTACCTTGGAGCAGCAACCACGTCTGTAAAAGGGATATTTTGCCTGAAAATTATTGAGGAAGTATGCTGTGCTTCTGGGCGATTCAGAATGCCGCCAGAGGCGATTCTCCCTTCCTTCGCGCCCCGGGCGCATCCCCACCAAGCTGATTGGTCCTCGCTCCCGCGACTTCGAAGGGAGAGGCGTCGGCCTATCACAATACCTCTTCCTCTCACAAGTGCGTTTACCTCCTTGGGCTCTTCTCCTCTTTAAGCCAATTGCTTGTTGCCGATTGTTTGAAATTACTGGTTTATGATGTGGTAAACTTTATCACAGCAGCCCTATCCCTCCCCTTCAATGTAAGAAATGCAGAGACAAATAGAAAAATCGGCTTCCTCCAGTATCCGAGAGAAGTTTAAGTAGATGAATTCATAGATTGCTAATATCTCACAATAATGTATAAAATCACATTTTAGAACTTTGAACATCATTGTTGGTGACTGACTTGTAAAAGCTTATTCAAGTGTTCGGTATTATGCTGTCTGCAGCAGTTCTCTGAGAACCTACATTCAAAAGATAGCTAATAATAAAATCGCAGTTGAAACCATTCAAAATATTCCATAAACGGTCCTTTCACTTAACATTTCCAACACTTTATCTTTTGTATGATGTCTTCAAGTCGCACTGCATTGAAGTTACACCAGGACTTCGAAGGTTACCCAAGAAAAAGCGCATTTTATGAAGCTCAAGCTGTATTTATTTTACCGCACCGTCCTCTGTACGATTTGTGCACAATACACGTTTTAGTAATAGCTGGAAAGACGTGACACAGAAAGACTTTATCCTAAAAAGTGTTTCATGGTGCCCTCGATCCTGATATTCCACGTCTACTAGTTTAACAGAAGTGCAAATGTTCGAGAATGGTTATGTTCGTTGCTCCCGATGAAAGGTTCCTCTCTCGCGCAAAGTCTTCAAGCGATGAGCCATGCGTCGTCCATTTAGGATCACAGCGGTAACTGGTTTATGTGCCCTCGGTTGGCAAGCCCTACAACTATAATCTTCATTAAAAGGTTTACACAGTTTAAATTTCTTATTGTTAAACGGCTGAGTTTTCATTTATTGCATAATATTCAGAGTTTTCTGTAAATACCCTTAGAGTATGCACTCTCTTTAATACAAGGTTTTATCACAAAACCCTGTTGAAAGCGCACACCAACACCGCTGCCTGGAATCTTGACTGTTGGTGGCTGAACTCACCCAGGGCATGTACTGGAGCTATTATTGAATAGACACACTTGCCATTTATCTGGAAAATGAAAGGGTCTCGTTTGACTTAAGCGTCTCATGAAATTAGAAGTTCTATTATTTAACTGAATCATAGGTATATCTTTCATAGATGAAAAGCTCAACAAAGTCCTTTGTTGCTGTTAATGATGCTTTATTGAAGGTGCTTTTAGCATATAAGCCTTGATAACTACGCCAGATGGTGTTAAAAGTGTCTTTTTTGGGTGGTTTGATCTAAAACTAGTTAAATTGCTAGACGCTCTATGTTACTGAAACAAATAACCTGAGCGGCACTTAAATTGGGGTTTTGAGCTAATCTACAGTGTGCCTGTCCCCCTCCTCAACATATTTAAGTGAGAAACGGACAATTAGCTTAAGGCTTGACATACAGTCAGTAGGATTACTCTTTCGAGAAAAGAGGTCGAAGTGAAAACAAGTGTTCGACTCACTTGATCTAAGATCCGAGGCCTGAAGAAAGGTACGTGTGGCGGTAGCTCATCCGTGTTTCAATGTTACTGTACCAGTACCTCATTAATGTACCTAGTTATTTAGGGCATAACTACATCTATTAGTGTTCCTAAAGAATGCTCCTAGGAGGTATTGCTTATGAAGTAGCATTATAAGTATACGGTCTTTAATGGTGCTATATTGATGTCCTTAGCTCAAAACCATTTCGATAGGCGATTTATTGTTACTTAAATGTAATTAAATGCTTAGCTTATTATATGGTTAACGTTCAATTGCTCCACTGAGTGGTGATATGAGTTGTTTTACTGGTGGTTTTGTGGTTGGTAAATTGTTTTGGGATGATCAACTTGTCAAACCTTACACATTATCTCTCACAGGTTGAACTTAGGCATTTTGTAGTCCGCGTTCCTGTTTTAGTGCCCCTTAAGTATCTGGTGAGCTATTAAACGCCCTAAGTGATTTTCACTGCCTTGCGATTTATTTTAAGAATTTGACCTTATTACCCTTCATCGTAACCCACTTTGATGTGCCTTGCTTCGAATAGCATCGCACCCATGCTATATAGTGTGTAGCTAACAACGAACCATCTGTAATCTCCAGGCACCAGAAATATCCATGCTGTAAATCGGCATGACTTAAGGCTGCTGGCCCTCAGCACAAGCCAGAAAGTATTCTCATCAAGCCCAGTTAATGATGTCAAATTGCTTATTTGCAGTAACCTTTGTCATTTCATCAGACTTTTTCACCTTTCAGTTCTAGCTCAATTGACATATTAAAACATTTTAAAACAAACGAAACAAATATTGCCTTGTTCTAAGGTGCAAATTCTTTGCTCAAGCATTTCGTTTTGAAAACCTGAATAATTAGCAATGAACGTTTTGATCCGTCGACATATGATTAAATTTTTGGCTGCAAAACAATGTGTTCAAAATAATCTCTCATCGGTGATGACCGATGATAGGAGTATGCTAATTTTCTAGAGATACAGGCACAGATTTCTTCACTGTCAACCTCGGGGGAGTAGGTCGCGCTCATTAGATCAGGCATCGCCTAAGGCTATGACGGCAAACTAAACTGCCTTATTTTCACCAGCACTCCTTACGCAGCTCCCTATCCCAGGCTCGCATTACTAAACTCGCAGTTTTGTTTTTCTGGTGCTTGATAGACACCTTGTCTATGGTTTACGGCTTTCAACCACTTCGCATGATCTCCCGTATGTGCGACCATATCAAACCTTTGAGTTAATCCAAAACTATTTGAACTCCTACAAGGATTTACTCAGAGATTTAATTTGCTTCAATACTTACTGTCACCGACTTTGAAAGAAGCTCAACCAAAAATATGTTTAAAAGAAGCATTAGTTCTGATTAAGACAAAGTACTAAGGTGTCAAAATGCAACTTTGCAGGGTGGGCGGTTTATTGACTAGGAAATACTGTTCTCAGGAAAAGATGTAATTTTGTTTGAGCGGCTATAGAGATTTTCATTCCAATTGACACATGCTCGAACCCCAACCCAAGGCAAAAAAGTCATATATCCACAATTAGTTAGGCTTTTCTTTACCATATCCACTAAGCTGATAATTATGAGTTTGTCACTCCAACACCGAAACAATCTGCGAGGACAAACAGATGTCTCTTTCCCTCCACCCCTCCCAACCATCCCGTCTACGAAATTAGAGGTTACGTCATGAATTTGGAAAGGGGGAGACCATAAAATTTTATTTTATATAATTTCTCCAACATCATCTCCTTTATTCAAATAAGTTGGTCAAGTGGAAAAGAGCAACTTGTATTAGGGTTGATTTCAATTTTGTTGGTGCATCGAATTCTGAAATGGGTGTCTTTAGCTCCTCCACTTGCATTTCAATTGTCAAGCTGGCTTGACATGTAGGCTAACGGAAATTATTGCAAAATGTTAATACAAATGGATTTGATCTTTAAAAACCACTCTTCTATATCGTTACGATTCCTACAGTTTAATTCTGGTATCATAATTATGAAAGCATGAATGAATAAAACCACTTTTTTCGCTAAAACTGCGGTAGTGGAATCTTATCGTTTTCTTTTTAATGTTATTTTACACAATTTATGCTCTCAAGGGGAAAAACGCATTCCAAGGTATGAAAACTGCATCCCCAACCAATGCTCAGCATAGCTTGCTGTTATATTTAGAAATGCATTGCAGCATTTAACCAATGGCCACAATGTTTTGACAGAAAGACTTAGGCATTCTAAGACAGTTTTGCTTCACTTAGTCACCGGTGATGAACTACTGACCTCTAAGACACTTTCAAGGATCTGAACAGGTAGACCTGATCTAATAAAAAGCATATGGCGATTCTCCTTAGCCTAACTGCTGCAATGTGTGCAGGAAGCGTTAAGCAGTGTAAATTTGTGTTTCGTCCTGGAGAAATGGGGCACTATTAGTAATCAAACCCGATCATCTTTTCCGCAGACGTCTATATGCATCACGCGAACCATGACAATGTTACTAACTTTTGCTACTGGCAAGCAAATAGCGCAAATAGCAAATCCCATAAAATAATCGCGACACTGTGAAAAGGCAGTAGCTCAAAATTCTTAATTGGCGGTGAATCTATACTTTGCTGCTACTTTACCTTTCATTTTTATCGGCATGTGCTTCATTTCTAAATTTTTCGTCTTGCTTTTTAGCACAATGATTCCATAATTTAGCATTTATAGGGTTTTTCAAAGTGCACAAAATGCAGGATATGTCGGTATCGTTGAAATCATCTAAGGTCCCCTTTTGGCAAATTTTTTTTTACTTATTTTTGTGAGTAAAATATGTATTTTGAAATGTTATACAATTCGCTTAAGCCGAAAATTCCAGACAATCTCCTAAATCATTAGAAATGTTGCATTTGCTTGATGAAATTATGGGATTTCTAGACAAAAAATTCGACTTAAAAGACAAGTAACCACAAATTTTATTAATCAGAAAGGCTTTGCCATCATGCTATTAATTAAAACTGCGGTAGAAATATTTCTATGTTTACTAAATAAAATCAAAAACCGTTTCAGTAAAAAACATGCAATTAAATGGTAGGCAGAAAAGAATCTCTTCATTGCCAATCAACTAATGAAATGACAGATTGATAGAAGTGAACCAGAGTGTGCCCGTTCTTAAAAATACAAACAGTGTTTGGCTTTCTTGCACGAACCGATTATTTGCGAAGTGTAGAAGCGATTGGCAACGAAGGAAAACTCGTGAAGGTATCAAATTTTGTAAAAGAAATAAGGAGATAATTCTTTCTCTTTGAGATGGTCGCAATTTATGTTAGACCCCAAAATATAAGTGCCTCAAGCATCTGGTCACTTGCTCATTTACACATTCAACAGCTTTTTCTCAATGCTGCTTTCTTTTTCACTATTCTAGAGGCTATGGTGATAAAGCAAGTCTTTTTCGTAGGGAATGAAGATACCAGAATCGTCTACGGCCGAATATGGAGAAATTTTCTAGTCATGTGTCCTCATCCCAGCGTGGTTCCTCCTCTCGCTCCATGGCATGCAATTCCCAGGTGCGCATGGTTATTGCTTAAATCCACCCATCTGCTAAATGTGACATTCTTAGCCACGTGAAGAGTATAAAGCTAAATCCCTCAACACTTTTGTTATCATAGTCACCACAGTCCCGGTGTTGTAATTCTCTAATTTGATTCTACTGGTTATTTTCCCCTTTCAATTAAATGTCACAAACATGAGAAGTGGGGGTTTAGGTAGAATCATTAAATCGCCTCATCTAGGTGCTGCTAGCAGCGGTTGCGTTAATTTAACTTGACAGCATTCAATCCCCAAAATATTGGCCAAGGTTTTGCGACTTTTTTGAGAGTCACGCATATGTACTTACGTACCTGTTGGCATCACGTAGGAGTGTAATAGAACGATGTCCCATTAGCCCCATATTCAAGTGTGAGGACCCCTAGTTGTCCTCAGCTTTCGGCCAACAGTTTGGCATCATATCGTTCTAATTACAGTATTTCTGTTAACACCCCATCAGCCGTCCTCCACAATTATAGTAATGCTTTATTCAGGCACTTAGGCACATCATTCCTGACAGTGATAAGTGAATTTGGTCCAAATGACTGGGCGACTTAGTTTAAATACCACAGAAGGAAGACACCCAGTTTGAGTGTTCTATTCTGAAACATGACTCGAATGATTGCTGCTGTACTTTATCATGAGGTCGTTCACGATAACCATACAAAGATATAACAAATACGTCAATTAATTATAACTTTTCAATGGGACTTACATAGTTAGACGGACATGATTAAAAGAAGAGTAAGATGTCAATAGGGGATGGATGTCAAACATTATCCCTCTGAAGCCACCTTATGCGCTTGACCAAATAGTTCCCCTCTTAAGCCAGTGTTCTCTGGAATCGAGACTGGTAATGTGAAATGTACTTGTCGGATAGCATCAGTCTGCCTTAAGCAGGACGAACAAATTCTGTGAACCTCCCCAATGAATTTCATAAGTGAGACGTAACTCCTGATCACATGGAGTTAAAGAGCTGCATTGCTGACGTTGGGACCAGAAGTCTTCGTGTCTTGTGGAAAAGTCAGTCGATTTCCAAAGCACCAAAGGCATTGTCATGGTCGACACTAAAAAAGGATTTCGAAGAACGCCTAGGGATGTGGTTAAGAAGAGGAAAGCTGTGTAACAGAAAGCTGGTCTGATCTCTAGGCTCTTCGGTCTCTGCAGATTCCGGACACCAGCCCAGTGGTAGCCTACATCGCTCTTACTAGCGGCCAACCACCCCTCTGTGTATTTAAAAAAAAAGCTATACCTAGAAGTCTTTAGCTTGTGACACCTTAAACAAAGACTCAGACACTACAGGAACTCGCTTGATGCACCAGCACGTCTGTAATCCGTACTCGATGTAACTATTGATGAGTGCCATCAACACTGCTCATAACAGTTAAAACTTGACTGTCTATAGTTGTTCAAATGTATATTTATTTATGCAGACTCTCTTTACTTTGTGCTTATGGTTGCTTATCATGATTTCAGTAGTGGCCTGGACTCTACAAGATCACTCAAGACTTCGAGTGGGGGTTCAAAAGAGTGAAGGAACACCGAAACAGCAAATACTAGTTCTGCTCCGAACATCGCCCTGCACATTTGGATGGCAGAGCTATACACCACCGCTTTCCCATTGGTTACTGCAATTATCATGCGTTCACTATTGCCCAATGGGAATGGCGCTGGTTCCTTGTGATCTGATTGGAGCAAACTAAGGTGCAAAACAAGGCGGTTTCAGAGTATGTCCTGGCGACCTATCACACTTCCAGCGATGAAGGCGCGGCCGGCAGCCCGCAGGAAGCCACGGGGCTGCGGTGGTAGTGCCATCGATCGCTGTTTAGTTCAGCTCAAGCGAATGGTCCCCACCGTCCGTGGGCATGCTAGAATCAAGAAGCTGGAGCTGCTGCAACACGTAATCGATTATATACAGGACTTGGAATTAACACTTGCCGAAGATCACCTTAGAATGTCCTCCGTGTCCAACTCCTCTCCCTCGACTCAGCGGAATGTGCTGGTAAGCACATGACTCTTGGTTCTTGTAATTTTTCGGAAACGGGACATCCTCTAGTAAGGTCGTGAACATTCTAGTTTTGTAATGCTTACTCTACATAAAGCACTAAAATTCTTTTTTATGCTTTTTGAGGTCCCGCGCATGTCTGGCAATTAGTGGAGTCGTATTGACTCAATTCTCCTGAAAAATGGGCTGATACTCCCGCCTAAGGTTTTATTAACGCCTATTTCGCAAAACACGAAACATTTTTAGGAGATTTTGGCTCAAATGTTTTCGGAGATGGGTGGCTAGCTTACCGTCTTTTACGCGTAGCTCATGTGTGCTTTGTTACACTCCACCTGTGACGACGTAACACTAACGAAGAGAGCGCATCGGCCTGGGGTAGGAGCCCCGTGCAAATGACATTTGAGGCTTAATTCTCCTTACCTTTGAGAACGTGATAGCTTATTCCTTGTAGACCCAAGCATGCCCAGATTCCAAGTGAACTCAGAAAATCAGAAAATTGCCACTCTTTGTACATAGTCAGTCTTGCACTGACCAGATGGTCATCTTATGCTTTCATTGTAAAGTTACTATTCAAATACACACGTTGTCATTTGTATTTTCGTCTCCTAAAACAGCGAATTTGTTTGTCAGCTGAGTCAGTCTTGGTGGTTAACTCCACAGGTGTTAACGCTTCGCTAATCCAAATTTGGGTTTGTCGTGACCAGATGGCTTCGGGGTTAGGCTGGATCAGTCACCTGCTCTTAGGCCTCGCAATCGATCGCGACAGCGCCGTCTCCCCCTGTGCATGCTGAACGCCTTTGGCCCGACGCTTCCATTGTGGGATTCATTCATGCACGTGACATTGCTGGCTTGTGGACCGAACCTAGCAGTCGTTTGCCACTCCAATTGAGGAGGCATTATGCTCATCAGCATGATGCTTAACCGCTTTTTTCTAACCAGATGGGGTTATCACGACTTATTATTAGTTGATCAGCCTTGATATTTTCGGATAATTGCCTCCACGTTAAGCTATTTCATCTAGCTTCATGGCTAGAGTACACTTATCTCTGGACTGGGTTGTCACTATCCCTTCCCTCATCATTCTTTCCTAGCTTGCACTGATCATTAGGTGGGTAGAAAAGTTGGAGCGGTCAAAGACCGATAGGAGCTGGCATAACGGAAGACGGAGGGTGAACACGGGAAAGAGAAAGAGAACATTCCTAGACCATCGACCCGCCGAGGCCACCTGTGAGCCGTTCCCGGCCTCGCATGTGTGATAGTCGCGAGTGTGGTGTAGGTGGTCACCTGAATGCAGCCTGCGGGATAGTAGAAGGGGGTGAGTGGCCCAGTGGTGGTGGTGCTGGTGCTGAGAGGGGACCGGACGAGGTGCCAGAGTCCTGTTCGAGCATGCAGCCGTGTGTACGGGAGATCCGATTACGTTTGTCTAGACAAGTAAATTAGGCAGGCTGTCTTCATTGTAAAGAGGCTCCTTTCTTGATTCGCCTTTAACAATGTGCTGGTATAGTCTATCCTAATCTACTGGAGGCTTAACAAGAGCCTTGAAAATCCATTCCTAATCGTGGAGTTGTAATGACCGAGCAGCCCCAAATAATAAATTGTGGTGTCTCATTATACATGCTCGAAAACAACCGTGATTGAGGCTGGAACTAGCTTAATACCCCAGATATCAATTATTTTGGCGCTTTTGTTTAGTATGAGCGTAATGCAATGGTTTGGGACTGTGGATCTTCCAGTCAGCACCTTACCCAGCTCTCCCAGTCAGGGTACTGTTGTAATCAATGCAATATGGCCAATCATGGTATCTGACTCTTGGAAGTTACCGCTTTATTTTCGCCACAGGAAGAGTCGCGAGTACTTTGAAGTTTGGAAATGACTATTTACCTTTCAAGAGGGGAAAAATAGGATCTGCCCCGCCGAAGCCGTGCTCTTTTAACTGTTATCTGAATATGTGTTGGGAATTTTCAGCCTGAACTCGAGACCGACGTCACCAAGGCTCAGGTCTGGCAATGAACCCAGTTACCCGGAGGAATGAAATGGACACACGTACTAACACCCTTACTCTTCCATTATCACAACCTGTCCCGTGCAGGCACATCCACTAATTCTGACACATCACACTCAAACATCTGCCTGACATGGCAGTCTCGCATCGGATGTGAGCGAAAGCTCACACACGACCCGCGCTTTGCATTTTGGCTTATGCAAATGAAGCACCAGTGCAGTGAGCCCATGTCAGGCTTTTGGAGCGCTTATCCCCTTTCTTGTACGCCACTAGGCTAAGAATGGCTTGTTTACTGGCTGCCTTGTGGGGGATTGCAGCTTTATTCATTCATATCATGTTGGATTTGTATTTTGCCCACTAAAATGCTGTTTCAAATGCGGTTACTCTTTTCGAGTAGAACTGAAAGTTAATTTCTCATCCTATTTTTTTCTCAAAACTATCACTCTAAAATGTGCTGTTAGGATGAAACAAAGTAGGTTAACGCACCTGAAGAGCTGTTTGCGTAAAATGAATGAGATAAGCATATTTAAGGCATGAAAATGAATAATGAACTTGTAGATGGAAAGTGAGGTGATTCCCGTAAATGGTGTAGAGCTGAAGGCCACTAGTCGAAATGTTGGTCATGTTTGTGCTGCTTTTGTTTGGCGAAGTTGAGAAGGTGACCCTATATGACAAATTCGTGGGGAAAGTTGTCATCAAATGATACCTCAGCTTGGGTTGTTGATACTCATTACCCCCTTAAAGAAGATTTCAGTCTATGAACATGCCACAGTATTGGTTCTTGTACGAAAGACCAGTCACTAAGACACGTCCTTTGTTAACGCCGTGTGCACAGTTGGCGTGAGCATATGCGAATTACGGAACTAAGTTGACTGATACCAAAAGGCTTTCACTTACCGGAGGATCGTATGCATAGTGAAGGGTGGGTTCTAGTTTTCATCTCTCTCTGAGTGCTTACCTTACGAAAAATTTGGGTTGAATGTGGTAATGCTGTAGTGAGAATGTGCCCATTGAAAAACCATTTCTTTACAGCAAAATTAATAGGCTGTTATGATCATTTCATTTAACAGTATTAAATAACGAAGTGACCAGAAATTGGCTTCACGACTGTTATATTAGTGCGCGTAGCAATCCACGATGCTCACCATCGCAGGGAACTAACTTCCCACTATCAGCAGAGAAGCTGAGTACCAAGCAGCAACCGGGTGAAGCGATTCATCGGGAAATAAGCTAGAGGAAAGCATGTGGAAAATGTCACTCCTTTTTACCCAGACCTAAAACTCGCCTCCCAAAATACCGTCCTAGGTGCATCCATTTAGAAGCAAAATTAGCGCATTGTGTTTTTGAATTGGCCTAGTTCATAACTTTGAGTTAATCGACTCTGTTTATTTGAAGGATATGGCATTAACGCATACCGAGAGGATGAAGCCAATAACACTGGTTTCTCGAGAGGTCATAACATCAACTTAAACTAGTATTTGCTCAACAGTGGGTTTGGTATGCACTGTAGTAGTGTATACATTGTGTTGTAGTTCCAACTGTTCCTATTGTGCCCTATGAGTAGGCGGCGTGAGACTGGTTAGTGAACATGTCCCGTTCGCCACAAACTATCATTTGAGCATTGCTTTCCGATGGGTCATAGTGCTAGTAAGTGTACGTTATGCGCTATCTCGCACGCAGGATTGGATCCTAAATGCCGCCCCAAATGTTATACCTAAATGCTTGTGAGGTTATAGATCCTACTGGTGAAATAGCTTTAGCCACAATGTGCTAAATGATTTTATTCTATAGACTACTGACTGAGATCTCAACGCGGTTGCATCTTGAGTGCCGTGATGGATTATTTGAAAGACCGCTCTCTTATTAATAGCTATTGTTCGGTTCGTTTAAATCAACACGCATTTCGCCTATTCGATTCTCACTGAAGACTAATTTGTTTAGTGTTTTCCCTACTTATAAAAGCGAAATAAGAAGCCTCTAATAATTGCGAAAATGGCTTCTGAACCTTGGAGCGCTTGATATTGGGAGAATGTGTGAATCGTTGACTGGTAATTCGTTGAGGTGGAAGTTTGTCACTCAAATTTAGCCTGTCACGAGGGCTATCAATATTGCCTCTTTTAACATTGGCATGCAATCAAAATCCGTATTCCCTATTCTGTCTAGGCGCAGTTAACCGTTTGGTAGCATATGACTAGTTTCACTCATTTCCCTCTATAGTTCCACTGAAGATCACCTTCAGGAAACATCTTCCACTTTGACATCATAACGTGCAGTGTATAGGCAGTCGTAAAGGTGTCACGATGACACTGGAATATTTTCCCAAGGTTTAAAAATTCAAAGTTACATTGGAAGTGAGTCGATCTGAACGCGACAATACGACGGTGAGGTAATAGTTTCTTTTTGTTATTTTATAAGACTATCTCCAACACCCTGGCACAACATGTACATTACTACAGGTGGCTCTATACCTTCGGAAATACTCTTCTCATGGGTTAACTTCCCCTTTTGTTGGACTTTGTGATGCATTTATTCAGTCAACCAATATTGCAAAACTGCGGCTTAGAGACTATACCTTTACTGATTCGCCATTTCCCTTGCGAAAATCAAAGGGGAAGTCTGATCGACATAAATTCGAGTCCACGTTGATGTTGTGACAATGTACAGCTGAAACCAATGCCTGTATACACCACCTGTGTAAACACGTTGTGATGCACCGGATGGCAACCAAGCTATGATGGTGGTCACATACTCAGCCAAATGGAAGGCATTAAGGTCAGCTCCGCTGCTTGTGTCCGTGTTTTCACTTGCCGGTTGCATTAAAAAACCCCAAACGATATTAAATCCAAATTGACTGGTGATTACAAACACACGTGGAGTCCTTTGGCTGCCTGAGTGCCCATAAAAGTATCTTAGACCCACAAACCCGTCTCAAAACCTTTCAGACGAGTGACAGTCGTGGGGTTGTACGTTGAAGCGGATAGTATTTGTCCTATCTGCATCGCTAGCAAGGACACTGAGGTTTATTCCCTGACCTCACTGACAGGCGCATTTTTGAGAACTTGGTTATGGTGACTACGTAAACTACGGAAAGTACGATTTGAGCTGGGGTCCTAGTGTAACGGGAACGCCATAAAGAAATGGTACTGTGATTTAAAATAAGGGGTAGAATCTCAACCTTATATTAATTCCCCTAGCCTATTCAATCCCAAAGTTTCCTCTAGGTACATGGGAGTTAAAACAGGTAGAGAAACTGCCAAACCTTTTAGGCTCCTCATCCCGGACTTTAAAACGATGATCACAGACAAAACAGAAAGACAGTGTCTAAGTTCATTTGCGGCTGAGATAGTGGCTAGTCTGAATGCACTTTGGTGTGCCTTAAGCCCGATACTCATAATGGGTCAATAATTAAAAAAGCGCCTACAAAGCGGATGCAGACACGGTGTGGTCGGTCTGTCAGTCAGTCCTTTTTCTTGCGCACTAATTCATCCCACTGCTATCGGCTCCCCTATTTACGTTTGCTCTACCCCTTAAACTATAGCACCCGCATATTGTTAGGCCACTACTGTTCAAAAGTGTCGTTACACTCTCTTCTCCCTTTTTCCCCCTTCAAGTGTGTTTAGAGGGGTGGGGGATTGCTAGGCCCGTACTCCCATTAAGCATGTACAAACTTGCCCACAGGACAAATAAGATGGCCGTATGGCGGTGGATAAACAAATTGGCCGCCTGGGTTGGAGTCCTGCCGTGATGAAGCGGTTCTCTCCTTCCTCTTGTCTACTAATTAAAAGACAACTAATACGGGTGTTGGATTTACGAGAGGGTTTAGTGTACAGGGATCGATCTGTCTGATTCTCCAATCTCTAACGTGCATGAGAAGTGAAATGCACATGATGAAAATGAAATAAGACGAAATTGTGGCTCTGAAGACCTTCATGTTGAACACCTTTATGTCACGTTTCACTCCTTCAATCTGAACGTCTCTTAAGTGACGAACGTCCCAATAATTCGGATTTGATTTCATTGGGTGAAAAGGGATCAAAGTAATGAAGCGGTCTCACTTTGACGATAGACTTGAATAGTGAAAGCTAAATAGTTTGTTCTTATTTGCTGATCATTCCTAAGCCTACCTAACAAGGAAGGCCAGCTGAGTTGCTTAAAATATTTTACACAGGAGGACATGTTAACAGCATTGATGCTGGGTGTCAATCAAGTGTTACAGTCCCCACCTGCGTTTACTAGGCTTGCCAACTAATGAGCCCCCGTACAATTTGACCAATCTTAACTGTCAGTGGCAGGTGTGAACGTGTTTCGAAGGTAGTTGAACAGGCTTGAACACACGTTAGGCTCGCTGTTAACCTATTCTCGCAGGTAGCGTGCTATTAATGTATCTCCGCTAGTTACGAGAGTAAAATAAATCAGCCTAACAGAACACCTTGTGCAACATCGCCCTCACCCTCATTGCCCCATTAAACCTTATTCACAGTCAACTTTTGGGCTAGATACCAAATTTATGCTAAAAAAACTATTTATGAAACTAGTTAAACGGGAAACTGACAACTACCGGAGTATTATTTTCGTTCTTAATTCAAATCTCCCAAAAAAGAATTATGACAGATTGTATGAGAAGCGATTGCATTTTCAAGAGCTCAAGTTAGTCTACGCTTCATAAACTGGCGACGTATAAAGTTAGAACATTGGCAACCCACCCGGATTACAAAAAAACAGTGTAAGTAATCCGTGGTTGAAGGAATAAGGCACGCGCCCACGACCGGACGTGCCATTCTGTGAGTTTCAATGAGTGGTTAATGTGTTTAACCATGGTGCTTAATTAGCCTATGTGGGATCACCAGTCTTCTTTTGAAGCTACCCCCTTTTTTCATTGTTGCATGCGCTCACCACACATTCCCCCAAAACCACCCGCATGGTTTTTCCGTACTGCTCTCCCCATCCCCTCCCATCTTCCCCTTTGGTGCAATGAGGCTGTCTACCTCGCAAAGGGCAGATTGGGGGACCCAACCTCCACCTGAGTAAACGCGCCTTTAAGGAGGGGGATAGGGGAGGTTGAGGCCTAGACGGGATAGGATAGGATGAGGTCTAGATGGACAGAGGTAGCTAGCCGGATTGAATCTACAAAGACTACACAGTGATTTTTGACATAGGTGCAGTGCCCTGGTTACGGGTGTAGGGTCCAATGCCAGTGGTCTGTTCACTCCATCATCCGGTCTAGAAGACTTCGGGTTCACGTCTCTTCTCTACATGCACTCAACTAAGTGGAGTACATCTTGGCAGTTCTTTTCAGTTTTTCATCTCAATGCGCTCGCTTCTGGTGCAGCAAGTCCAAACATGCAGTGGTTTTGTGTGAATCATCCAGGCGACTGGGTTCTGCGCAAATGCTCGACAGAGAGCGCGAGAGAGAGGGTGTATGTGCGCAAAGGCCTCCATTGGTATCTGCTCATATCACCACAATATAGGTTGAATATTTCAGCATTTCAAGATTGAAGTGTTTTATAATTACTTAAGCATATTCTAATGATATTTGGAAGGCTACGGTAACTTTTCAAAATGATATGCGACATTCATTGAAATCAGATCTCTGGAGTGCTTGAGGCGTTGGTCATCACGAGATTATCTTTACTACTTTAATCGGGTTCACTTTGGTTGACTTTTTGTTGTTGATAAGCCGATGTTTTTAACAGAGGCTTCCCAACACACATTGAGTGATGCTTACACTAATAATATCAAACAATATCTAATAATATCAGTTAAACCTGATATCAGGAAAGATCATGGAATGACATTCTTAATGCTGAACGCTATTGATTCACAAAAGTTGGCTGTAAAAATAACACATCCAATGTTTGAAGTCCTAGCAGACAATGCCATTTTCTCAAGGTGACATCGTTGACCTCCACTGCGGTAGTGTGCATCATAAGTAGGTCCTCTTGTGGTCACAGATTGATAAAAGGTGGGAATAGGTCAGTGATACCTTCGACAGCGGTGGTGGCATGAATTGCGGGGGCCGCTTTGGAATTTTAAGGCGTGCCTGAGAGGGCTGACAATTAGGACCTTATTAAAGACCCAACAACCAAAAGGAAGAAAGGGGGTAAAATTATCCGAACAAATGGCACCCATATGTCAGTGGGAAGGTAGGCGGGGAGTGGAAGAGGGTGGAGAGAGCCAGGGGGTGACAGAGAGGGACAGAGGCCAGTTGAGATGTAGCCAAGCTCTCACAGCTGCGAGCTTGCCGGTGGCACATCTGGAACACACACACATTCTCGTCGAGCACATGGTCTCTTGCTGTGTGAACATATTGCCTTGACATTTGGCTTGTGCGCAACAGCCGGTGCTAAATTCCCGCCCGTTGGGTGTGGCATCTGGCTAGATGGGCATCATGCGGAATGATGCAACCTTCACTCAGTGCTTCCCACTGAAGTCTGGATACTACTGCGAGTCTCGGTTTCATTCCAGCTGATGACTGGTAAGTTGCATAGCCAAGTTTTACTCGTGAATATATGTGCTGAATGGAACGAACGAAGTCATGTTGCCCGCATGTAAGTCAGCCGGAGCTTCAAGTCAATGATTTTTATTGAATCACTGCAGCAATTAAAATTTCATCGAGATTCAAGAAGTCTTTCCATAAAAGTATTTGCACTGAAGCCAAACAGGGACGAAGTGGAAACTTTCCGAAAAATATTGATCCGAAACTGCTGGGAAATCCCTAAATTTTTCTTAGTGGCTGCACTAGTTGAATCAGAAGAAGCCAAGCCCCATAATTAAAACTGCTCTGGTGTTCTAACAGCTATTAGTCCATAAGTCAGCACGTCAGCTGGTAGTTCCAGACAATCTATCAAATAACAGGCCATTGGCAGAGGTCAAGCAATTTGGTTTCAGGTAACTTTATCAACAAATAATGCGTGAGGGGATTCTTGTATGATTTGGGCCGCGTTTGATTATACATACCACACTAAAGGGACAACCAAGCCACTCAAAAATGCCTGTCATGCATGCATGAAGGTGGATAAATTGACGGAATAGTGAACAAATTAACATAAGTTTTCTATTTTGTCTTTACCTACGCGTAATGATGGGTAGAAAGACGATTAAGTTCTCTGAATAAAGGAAAATATGCTCTCTCCGGTATGAATTTTGGCGCTTGATACAGCATCTGAGCTTCTGGACACTTCCACAAGACAATGTTCATTTGTAAATGGATGGCTATTCCACTTTGCTACAATTACCTATTTGGACTTTGAATCCCAATTCGAAGAACACTTGATCCATATTGAAAATTACTGTCCCGTAAAGCACACCTTCCTAACACATCTGTGTATTATCTCAAATTTCTTCCAATAGGTTAAAATCAGAAACAAAGGTTTCTACTCTTCTCTGGGCGTAACAGACAACTCGGTTACCTGACTATCGTCCTGGCATTGTTGTATGTTGAAACAGTGTTCGAGAATTACCAGTCAGACCAGGCCGGTTCGTTTGAATGAAGTCGGCTCCCTGCGCATCCTCGGGTGCCTCCCTCCAAACTAATGCTTCCCTTGGTTAAATTTGAACTCTCCGCAAATAACTTTGCGATTTTCATAGCTATTTACTAACAATAAGTTAGAACTGAAGTATGTAGCTGTAAGCTTGGGGTGATGGCACTATCACACCCAGTATTAACTCATTTTGATAAGTTGGCTTTATTGAATAAATGGAATTAGGATTCTAAAGGCGATGAATTACTTGCCATCGAATTTTGTCATTGAAATTATGTAAAGTTGACACCGGTAGAAGTAATGAAAACCACTATTATTATATAGTAACAGAAAACACAACAGTTCGTCTCAGTTCGTGCGTAAATCTGATGTCTACACAGAAGGCCATTGTGATAATACCAAGTTAGAGACCTTTCAACAGGTTTTTCGTACTTACCGACTAGTAACGATCCTCGTTGTGACACTGTTAAATTCATTAACTGCGCCATCGCCAATTTCTGTAAAAGCCATTTGAGTAGGGGAAATCGCCCAGATTTTTGTGCAGAGATTCGACCACAGCTGTGGCGTTTCCCTGACTCGGTGGGAGCCCAAACACCCGTCTCCTCGGCCATCTCTACTTGGGGAGAAACCAGGAAGAAGCAGAGGGGGCGGAGGACGGGCGGAGGCAGCGACACACTGGGACCCTTTTCACCTGTCACGACTGCGAGAACGGTCCTATGCTCAAAACATCTGCTGCAGTACAGCTGCTGCAGTTCACTTCGTTGCACAAAAAGTCTCTTCGCAACAACGGTCTCCGACCACCGCTATGACAATGTATCCCTTAGTTGTTTTCACTCAAATGATTGCATAGTAGAAGGTTGTATTAATAAACCGATGGTATGTAAAATTAGGAGCGCTTATGTCATTTTAGAAATTGGAGGATTAAAATATTCTTTATTATTGCCCCAAGTTACATAGTTAAAGGGAGCTAGCTTTCCCACACAGAGGACAATTTGTCAATCATCTGCAAAAATACGAAAATTAAGCTCGAAGTACATGATCCATGAGACTAGACCTTTTACATAATCTAATTGATCAAAAAAATGTGAAATGGTAGAAGTTATTTGATTTTTAAGGCACTCGGATTCACGAAATTACAAAATAAATTTCATGTTCTGTAAGCTAAATGCCTCGACCCAAACCGACAAAATCACACAGGCAGTAGTTTTTAAAAAAATTTTATTACCGAAAAAGAATCCAAATGAACTTCAATTTCGAAAAAAATACCAGGAAGTAATTATAAATAAAGCAAATAGACAAAGATAATTTGCTGAAATAGAGAATTAGGTTAAAGATATCACCTTTAATTGCTTCAGAAACGATTAATATTGCTGTGATGGTTGAAATACAATAATGGCAAAAAGGCAAAGATGAACATGCACTGGCAAATCAAATCAGCTTAAAAATAATGTGACATGACATTTGTGTCGTATACCCCATGCATATCACCCCCCTAAAGATCATTGGTTCAAATTAGGCAGTGGCAATTATGCATGCTCAAAAGACTCGAGGATTGCTTTGAAGGTGCCCGCTCATCTGTAGACGAGAGAGGGATGCAGTAGCTGACACAATCCCTTTGACTAGAATGAAACTCGTTCCGTGAGACCTCGGTTGGATGACTATTGGTGGGCTTCTAGGGGCTAGTCATTTCGATAGCTAAGTGGGACACGTGGCGTCTTGGGTCAAGCCAGGTGACTCCCTCTAATTGCTCAGTTGCTAAGTCGTGCACCTTTGAAATCCAGGTGGCCTCAAACACACATTAGAGCCTGGTCTCAATGTGTAACACATTAAAGTTATTACCCCTTTTTAAAACCTTAGGTCTTTCTGGTAATGTGACCACTGGGTAGCCACAAAATTGCATGTTTGATTGCAAGGTGATTAAAGTAAGATATGAATTATAAAATAGAAAGTCTCAACAAATGAGGAAGAACGGAAAACAAGTACAACTTTCGATCCCTACAGACAATGAATCGCTTTGAGGGATTCAGAATTTCTGTAGTATCCGTGACCAAATTTGCGCTAAAACAGACTCAAAAAAAAACAGCTATAGGCCCAAGTGTATTGCAATAGTGGAACTTACTTAAATCCAAATTAGGATGACAGTGTCCTTAGTTGTCCCTTTATCTCAAGTCGGAATTGGTAGAACTGCTTATCAAGCTTAGTGCTCATTCATTTAACAATCGGAGAGGTGCTACTGACATCTTATAGTAGAAATGCTACAATGTTACCAAACCACCGTGCCTGGCGCTCGTTGGCACACTCGCAGCGCACCCCGCGGCATCGGCATTGCAGACAAACATGAACAAGTGCGCTGGTTTGAATTATTTCTCAAAACTCATTATGGGCAAAATTCGGAGTATTGACTGTGAAATACGCTAATGAAATCAGACTATTCTAATGCCCCCATTTCAAAACCGTTTCAAACGCTTATGTGCAGATCTGCGCATAAAATAAGACACCAAGACTGTCCAACATCATAATAAATTTTAAAGCCTAATTTGAGTTTCCACAGTTAAATTATGTATTCCCCATTGTTACACTGACTAAACGCTTTGTTATTTCATTTAAAGTCAAAAGCGTCTCAGGTATGCGATGCCATAGTTTTACTAGGAATAGATAAGGTGAGTCCAATTACGGGAAACACTTCCTTCAGGGAGCTGCAAAGCATAACAAGTGAAAATTGGCAGTTGCATGAATGATTCATAAAAATATTCACTTGATTTTATTGAAAGTGGAGTAAGTTCAACTGATTCCAACTGAAGTATAAGTTAGAAGGATAAATAAATCACGAAGTCAAAACACAAATTACTGACATGCTTGAATTTAACATAATTGACAACGCTTTATTGCTAGTAAAGTTCAGGTGGAAATAAGAGAATTATGAATTTGAGATGTAGTGCAGAAAGATGGTTTCTACCAAACCTAATGCAGTGTATCGTTGTAACCATCTTCTCCCACCGAATAAAGATGCGCACGTAGGCAAATCCACCTTCAAGAAACAAGGTAACAAGTTTCTTCAAGGGACAAGGTAAAATGCCAAGGCAAAAACTCGGATTATTGTTAGGAAAAAATTCAACACAAAATATATCCAGGCAAAACCCCAACTAAAGACCGAAATACAAATTAGTAAAATATGCTAAATGACATCTGTTACTTTATTGCCCACATTTGTAGGAAAATGTAGCAACGAACCCAGCAATTAAGTTGTTTATGATTATGCATAACAACAAAAAAGCTAATAAAAATGCAAGTGTTAACTTTGAACAAAGGGACTCTACTCAGAAAGGAGGATGATATTAAATAAATATGGGACCTAACAGCATCACATGTGTACAGATACTTGACAATAACAAAGAGGCACAGTTTCCAAATGAAAAAGGTATTTCTAGTTTCCGGCGCGGCTTGAGTCACAGTATAGTGTTGGGCTTATTCCGCTTTTGTAGGCGCAGATGACCGGGGCAGATGGATGACCTGCGCAGCTGAGTAAAATGCAGGCGGAGTGACTGCGTTAGCTTCATTTTTTCTCTTCTTTTTTGATAACCAAAAATTTATTAAGTTGATATTTTTTACCTACGTGAAGAACAGCATACAGTCATATTGGTCTACAAACAACATTTTAGCCTAATTTTCTACATAATTTATGGATAGCTGGGCATGAAACTCAAATCGCAGTTATCTAAAACTGGATTTAACAAGCCAACAAGGGGCGCCCACGGGAAAATAACTCATGGTAAAATGAAAAAGCCAAATAAAATGAGTTCTAACGTTTCACGTTTAGAGGTGAAAACTAAACTTCTTAATGTTTGAGCGGAATATTAGACTAGAGAAAGTATCACTGTATAGGAATTGGGCTTTAAAATTTGGCGTAAAATGAAACCGCCACTGCAAGCTGGAATAAAGTGTCATTGAAGGAAAAATTTTCATATTTTAGGTGGAGAAGTAAAGCAGTGCAATGGGTATCAAGTAGCCAGTGTATTGTTTTAACTGTATTTTTAAAGGAATTGCTTAAAGCACACTGAACTAGTAAACCCTTAGACATTCCACTAATGTTCGCCGACAGTGGCCTAAAGACGTCAAAATTCCGAGAGAAGCAAGGCTGGTGGATATGCATTTATAATGCTAATAATGAAGAAGGTCACCTGGATGTTTTTCATATCTAATTGCTAGGCTGAACATTACATATGAAGACAGGAACTTGTATATAAAGGATGCATGTTTGCCAAAGCTATAAAGTTTTCCGTTTTCAGATGTTACTAGATTGTCTCTGTTTATTCAAAGAATTTGACGATGCTATCCATTGTCTGGAATAAGCACATCTTAACATCCAGAGCATTGGCATCAAAGCGCTAGCAATCCCGTTTTACAGGCATAATAATTCACGCCGAAGAGGAGGTAGAGGCATAATGTCGTTTTTATACGAGGGCCTACGCACAGGCCAAATAAAGAATTTAGCAAAGTATTTTTTTTGTCGAAGGATCTACCGTTCTCGCCAGTAATGCTGACATTGAGATTATTTCGTCAGGTAATAAAATCAGGTGTTAATTAATTGACGAATTATTCGACCTCCTCTGATGGACTGAATGTAACACAAAATCATTCAAGAAGGCATTTTCAAGTAACCTTTATTGTGAGAATCACCATTAATTACGGTAGGTCGATTAAATACTGTTTGCATGAAGCGAAGGTACCTTGGAAGGACTTTGAGGAACACATCCATGACCTAAGTTCATAGTTCCAGCAAATGGGAGGTAGGTCGGTAGTTTTGGGTCAGCGCTTAATGCCTCCCACCCCTGTCATGGGGTCATCGAATTTCGTGTCACATGCTTAAACACTCCAGGGTTGATGCCGTAGCAAACGACTTTGGGCAAGGTATTTTAATGATGAAAGGATAAAAAGTGATAGTATGACAAAGTTTAGAACTCCAGACCGATTTTGTGAGTATTAGCTCTTGGGGAGTAAACTATTATTCATATGTTCTTTCGAAGAATTGGTGGTCTGTATAAAAACATCCCACGGCATACAAATGTGGAAGCAGGCCCGTCATCAACGTGTAAAATGCCTTAAGACTAAAAAATGAGTAAATATAGCTTCATTCCACCAGTATGGCAGCCAAACTGTGGAAGACTGAAAGCATTCGTCTTGTTAGGTATGTAATTGCTATGGCTATCATTCTGTCGAATTTTGATACTTTGTGAAATTGAAGAACTAGAATTAGGGCTGACACTTTTGATTCCTCCATGGAAGTGTGTTAGATCTGATACATGTCAAAGGTTTATTTAGGCAATGCTTTCATTTTGAAGTCGACTTGAAATGCTATTAGGTTCAACCGCACAAGACACCATAACTGCGGCGCCTAATGATATGGGTGTGAACGAATGGAAGTGATACGACGCAACTAATCTAAAAACACAGGAATTTACAGTCGTTAAAGCGAAGGCATGTAGGTTTTGGATTAGAGTAGCAGTGCCATTAGCATGGCAAAATATGCATTTTGGTAATCGCCGTAAGGGAAAACTACTACCGGAAAATGTGGAATTTGATGGCAAATACATTTACATGCATTTTCGCTTTTTTATCTACAAAAAAGATTTAATCCGGAAATGCAAGCTTGATGCACACATTGATGGCAGAAAACAGGAGAGAGGAAAGGTGGTACTTCGTGCATCTCATTTCTACTTCTGGCATGGGGCACACCTAGTTTAGGCTAGTGCAAGTAGTTAAGTATAACCATTAATATTTGCAGAGCAAAATAGTTGTTGCTCTTGTCGTAGGTAAACAACATTTTAACAAGTATTAGTTTAAATTCTAAACAAAAGTTGACGCACATTAACCAAGCACGCAGAGCAATCCATTTCTTAAGTTACCGAGCCCATTTTTTGCCTCATAGTCTGTCATTTCTGTCTTACGATTTGGGAAGTAATGCGGGTGAGATGATGCCGATGACGAGTACATCTACACTGAAAGCCATACCACTACTTAATTAGTTACACACCCAAAATTATTTCACTCCAACCCGAAAGAAATACACCTTTCTTAATACTTGTTTCCAATTAAGGTTAATCGTAGGGGCAATTAGAAAAACAAAGTGTATTAACTATGTTTCGTATATGCTACATTATATTAAATGCACAGCAAATATCTGAAGAAATTGGCTACACATCTCGGAGTGCGAAAAAGATTTATTCTCTGTATTCAAGATTTGCTAGCTCAGGAATAAATTAGAATGTCAAATCAAGTTCGACAAGAGGACAGAGATGATACTTTGCAGAAAAATACCATGAGATCACCATGACGACAAATAAATAAAAGGTTTAACATTCACCCTGCTAAGGGCGATTGCGATAGCTAATAGCCGTATTTGCAGGGCTGACATGGATGCTTAACTATGCAATTTGGAACGTGGGCGAGACGCTATTTAAAGCAGCATCAACTTCCTCAGAGTGGCATAAATGAATGAGGAGCAAGGAGGTGACAAGGATAAATTTACTTTAACAAGCAGTTTGTTAAATTATTAAGGAGGACGCGGGTACGGCCCATGCCTTACTAATCGAGAAGACAACGTATCAACACGAGCATCGCCTTCGTATGCGACGCACATCCTTTGATGTAAATCAAGGTAAAATAAGACAAATTAGCATACCAACATCGATGATATTTTTAATGATTTACAAAAGGCTACAGGTAGTCGGTCGCTTTTAAGCAGGGGCGCTGAAAAGTTTGAGGTTTGCTATAGAGGCATTTACTTTTATCACATTCCCTGCACATAAAAACATTCGCATGTGCATATTAACAAAGATAGTTAAAGGTAATTAAAAATGGCAAATTATTCCTTTCGATTTCATTCGATGATTCATTGAAAACAGCATCTATGTAGATAAGAAAAGTTTTAATCCATAAAGCATTTGACCTAAGCTGTAAACTAAAGACACAGCAATTGAGATTGTTTGTCAACGTACTACCGTTGGTTGCTGCGATAGTAGCATATTAATGCTACCTGGATATTAATTTCAACCCCGATGCAAAAGTCCTGTGTAGAATAGTTAAACTCCTCTTTTGCTCTCCTTTTAGTTTGGGGCGTTTACCCTTGGGAGGCAATCACTGGCTGGTGCTACATTCAGTGTGTAAAACGAATAAGAGGTAACCAAACGGTCAAAAATAACTTTTGGATAACGACACAAAGCTATCTTCTACTTTTTGCTAGTTGTTCTAAAGCACCATAATTGAAACATCCATTTTAATCTTTTTGACCGTTGGCAATTAAAATTGTGCTTACTATTACTTCGCAAGGGAAAATCGCTCTGAAAACACAACCATATTAATTGAATTGCAAATAACAATTTTTTCATCTGGTCATCATCGCGCTCCTCTTTTTTGGTTTCCCACATCGGATCGTGCATTTTAAGGAAATATCGTCTGCTATTTGCTAACTGAGATGCTTGAACAGAGTTTTAAATGCTCCTCTTCCTCCACCAATGCTTTTCAATGGTATCCTGCTGAATTTGAGGCTGCGTCCACAATCTAGATTTTAATTAATGCAACGACTTTGTGCACCGACCTATGCAACACAACCACGCAATGGTTTCCAAACAAAATTCCTCCTTTCAGATAACGCACTGAATTTGTCCATCATCTTCACAGTGCACATATTTCGTTATTTTCTAAACGCGATGTCGGAATGGTTAAACTGATTTACTTTTAAGTGATTAACATGTATCGGCTTGAAGAAATTTCAAGAAAAAAGGGATTGGTGGCGCATTTGCTCAAGAATACAAATTCCCTTTGCTAGAAATTCATGTATGAATGGAAGAGGTAGTAATATTTGAATGAGAAACTCAGTTAGAGCTTTAAAAAGTCATTTTATACTTATTCAGACAACTGAAAAACTATTAGTGGTTAAGGAAGTCTAGCAAACGTGCAGCCGATGTGAGATTATTTATAGATTTCGCACATTTGCGTACGTGGCAAATGCATTTTGGTATAAATTTAAAGGCAACATAGATGGTCCATTAAATGAATAAACGTGGGCGTTAGTGTGGAACAACTTTACCCAGTAGCAAATACGCCATTTTAGGCGCAAAATTTTTCCCAGAAAAGGAAACAACCCATGCGTTGGCACAACCTCAAAAACCACATATGACAGGCGTTTGATGATCATTGGCCGTATAAAGTACAAAAAGAGTGACTTCGTGTTGGTGTTAGAACATAGTACATGGCCCATTTACACCTGAGAAACCGGGCGCTTTTTTAGAAATGGGACTGTAAATATCATCTTTTTTGCCCAAAGTGGTTATTTAATAGTTGGACATTAGTTTAAATGCTCATTTTATCATTTAGTATTAGGTGGCAAGTAAATCAACGATTACATTATCCCCACAACAGGCAAAATTACGACTTGCTGCGGGTGTTCATTTCTTCGATTCAAAATAAATTTCCACTTCCAAACAAAGATGCCTTACCCTCCGGTAAGTGGGTTTTAATCAAAATAAGCTGATTATGGCTTTTGATCGGAGGCGAAGAAAGTAGGCACTAACATGGGCTGGTGGATAGATATAGACACTTTAATTTGGAATCCACGTCAACCACGGGTCAAAATCACAAATCGCAAGATGGTATCCATTGTGAAATATTCCTCTGTCAAATTAAATACTATAAAGCAAACGTAAATGCACCTTGGGGGGCATAAATTGCTTTTGAAATGCAGAGTGGTTGGAAAATTGCTAGATTTTGGAGGATGTTTTAAAGGAGCACGAACTGGAGCAAAAGTCCAAATTTTAATAGCTTCACAATGCCAATTCTACTCGGTGTGCATAAATGCCAGCAGTCGGGTTATAATTTCACCAATGGAATGCAAATTCCAAGTTTGAATTCCCATTATTTTACCTCCCAAACATTTCGCATCCATCACTGTGAAATACGGATAGTGATACAATCAAGAAAAATGAATAACGGTTTTCACGATATTCAGTGTTCTTTAGAGGAGTAACTTGAGAGTATTTGTGAGATTTTAATCTTCTTAGCTAATGTAATGTAAGTAGGATTTCAGCAGGACTAGATTTTACCTGGTAAGCTAGAATTCACTAAAAGCCCAAATGAAGGTGGTGAATCGCGTGTCAGGCTGGCCTTTATTCAGTGAAATCATTCCAACCCAACTTATTTCAGACCGATTAACCACTAAACAGTTTGGTCTTGATCCCACTAAAGTGTGTGTGAGTCGATGAGTTTGTGATAAATTTTAAACTTCAACATGGGTTTATCCCACAAATGGCTTCGACATCGATGATTTCTCCTTTATTATACTTCAATCACTTGCCTGCTTTTGCACACCTAGTATCAGTATGAGCTCCTACAAAGTTAGAGTCTTTAAGTTGAAATAAATCCAGCACGGCAAAACAACTAGCCATTCGTGTTAAGAAAATCAAGGCATGATTATTATTTCTTCACCTCTTAACAACTTTATGGGGAATGTGAACTGCAAATAATGAACGACAAATACATCGATTTTATGCGGGTCATCACAATAAAAACAGTTTCTTATGTTTTCTAAACATTCACACACTTTCGGCAAACATTTTTTTCATATAACGAAGTCAGGAAAACGGAATGTGCAGTCCTGTTCACTTATTAATAGGTACTAATTTCTGTATGTTTGTGAACACCGGAATCAGAATACAGTGGCATTTATGTTTTGTAGATTTAACGCTAAGGCAAGTGATGCTTTGTAATTCTATTGTGAAGAATAAATAACGTTTCCTCCATTAAAATGAGCATTTTTCAAAAAATATTTAATGTGGTTAGGATGCACGATGAAAGGTGCATGAATACCGCATACCAGGGAGTTACGCCCAAACTGTAAGGGAAGGAGTTGAAAATACTTCCATATAAACGAGTAGTTGAGTTTAGGGAGGGAGGATCAATTACGTCTTCGAAAAGACGATCTGAAAATTTTTACTTCTGTTGGCACTTCGCCAAAGGAGGCCTTTCACGAGGCGTACTGCAATGGGAACTGACGCGAGCAAAGAGAGGTGTTACTGTGGTGGCCTATGCAGCAAGATTTCTACGGCGGCTTATTTGAGCCTAACATTTGGGAAGATGCAGCATCATAAGACATCCCATTTTCCCGTCCATGAGAATCCGTGCAGACGCAAGTGTCGGAGCCATGAAATTGTGCGAGTGTTCTACGTGATGAATTCCTGGGAACCGGTGCACTGAGATGGCAAATAAGTACCATATGATGCTTATAAGTATCCCCCTAATACTAGACCAAATGCACAACTCAATTTGATGTAGCTAACTTTGTTAAGAATATGGTCAAATGGACACCTTAGAAAAGTAGCGCTTTACCGATATCTGGATCTTCAGCTGCGTAAAAAGTGTAACCTGCTGAAAGTAAAATAGGAGGAACGAAAGCTTTAAATTTATACCAAGTGTTTGTCAAAGAGTCATTTACAAAACGCGACGTAATTGTCACTTTCCAGTAGATGTAGTTTATATATAGGTCTCAATGACAGAATACAAACATTCTAAACAATGCTGAAACAATACATTCAATGGACTTTTTTGGGCATACGCTCCCACGCCAACATGTGGGACTGTCCCTATTTCTGTCTCAATGTGCTCAACCCTGTATGTTTAAACGCGTTCTCGACGTGCAAAACCTGACTTGAAACCAAAATGAGTTAAAAAGTCGGTTTCTAAAGGCGGAATTAAGTAATTCCGAGGATTTAGTTCATTTTTAAAGCATTTTGGAGTGCTTCTTCCGAGGAAGTGACGGTAACCCTTAGTATTTTTTGCGATCCATTTAAAGCAAATTCCAATGCATAAACACTCTTGATTTTGCTAAAAACCATTAGCAAATAATAAAATAATAATTACTATGGTCTGTTAAAAGTTAATACGTCCTTACAAAAGTTATCGAGATTCCAGATACTCAGACCATCACTTGTAAACATTAAATTGGTAATCACATAGGGGTACGTTTTTGGTATCTTCTCAAAAAGTCGATAAAAAGAGATTAGGTGTTTATGCCTTGCTCCATGCTTAAATACTGTGGCAATTTGCTCAAAAATTGGTGGCATTAATCCTCTACTTGTTAAATGGATCTAACTGAAGGAATGGAGGGATATGGGGAGGACGATGTATAAGTCAGAATTTTGAATTAAATTTAACAAAGTTCAAATCTCATGATTTCGTTCGACTATGTATACCTGAAAAAAATGAACATTCTAGTCGCGTGAAAGTCCATCAAATCTCATTTGTTGGTCTAGATTCGAATACCACGGATCCACCATTGAATTAGTTGACCAACATACAAAAAGCAGGCTCGGTTATTTTGTTATTTTAATAATCAGTAAATGCTTTTGTTCAGACATTTAAGAGTAAATTATAGGAATGCTGACCGTGATTCTCCTTGTTTTTTAACAAACCCGAAAAAATGTAGCAAAATCATCCCATTTTCAGTGATTATGTAAGTTGAACCACGCACTCACGGTTGCCTGAACACCGAGCTGCGACGTCTGTACCCTACCTTTATTTGTAAGACAGCAATATGGTGGTCACATTTGATTTACTTTATTAAGTGGAAGTACAAATGACTATTGGTATGCCTTGACAAATAATTTGGGTCCGGTTTTACTTCAAGTATATTTGCATAGGTTAAACGGAAATGGTAACTATACCCATTCAGTGTATTAATTAAAGGCCCTGAAAATAGACTCTGTACAGAAGTCACTCTTCAAATGTCTTTAGTAAAGTGCACTTCAATTAGCTTATGTGTTAATGATGACGATGGGGCTTAATTTGATATTCCTTCAGTTGTTTTAATACACCCTTGCTTTAAGAGGCTTCTGGGTTCGGACAGCAGTAGACTCAAAGTAAGTGATAAAATGATCTAGGTTTTTTGGCTAAGTGAGCGATTTCATGTGAACCCGTTCTACCTGGCTGCCACCATAACTGACGTAGCAGCAACGAGATGTTCACCAGACGCTGCCCTTTCGAGCGCTGATTGGCTCACACGAGTTATCAAACATGCTCCACTCGTCCAATAAGGGAGATCCGCTTAAAGGAGAGGCAGTGATCTCATAAGTGACGCAAAACTCGGACGTGAAAGTAGCCTTTTTGGCAGAAATATCCATTGATCGAAGTCAGCGTCACGAGCGGGTATAGGTATGTTGCATTTGAATACTGGACATCTGATTTTAAAATTGCTTTGCCTAAATTAAAAAGTAATAAAAACTATTTTGACGTTGAGATTAACGCGCTGTAAGATTGCGCCGCTTATCAGCACAAGGCGCAATTTTTGCTATAAAGATAGTACTTAGGGAAGAGTGAACCATTCCTCTTCCTTTATTTCTAGTTCAGACGTGGTATTTGAATATGAGACACCATTGGCAGCGCATACTCCCGCAATTTAGCCCGAATGTATGTGTAAGGCCTAGGGCGATTCTCAGTTAAGTACCCATATACACACTTAGTCTCACCGCCTATCAGTTTCAACAAAATATCGAAGTATCGAGAGTCCTTCATTGATGTGCTTTATGTGTTTTGATTACAATGTACGACAAAAAATTTGGTTCTTTTAAAAGTAATTATTGGTGTAGTTTTAAACCGTCAACAGGAAATGGGGCTTTTTTGCTACTCAACAGGATAGAATGGTATGAATGTGGCGTTTGCTCAAAATTACAGTGATTGGGTTAGTGAGTTGCGTTGTTGAATGAACACCGCCAATTAAGCGCTAGAGGCAAGGTGAGAGCATTTATTTGTCGAAAAATGACGGCTTGAGACTTCAGATGAAATATAATTACTCCTGTTAGAACCCCAAGCGTCCATTATCATAAAAAAAATTCCAGTATTTATTTGAATTATGCTTGAAGCTTCACCATAACATTTGTTTTTGTCTACAAAACGAGATGCGGACTTGATCGACTGTTTGAGGTCATTTTTCGGACATTAGCACAGCTGAAATAACACCGCTGTTGAAATCGCTTGTGCATTTGCAATAAAAGGATCTTTAAAAAAACAAAACGGTAATAATAAATTCTTCAAAGATCGAGGTGTCGTGACAGGATGTTTGTGAAGTCGACACACAACTTCATCGAAGGCTAATTTGGGCGTTAACAAATAAATGGGTCTAATAGTGTTTGGGGACAGGGGATAGTACTAGAAGTATTTCATGTTCAAGCAAACATCCTTTGTAAAATTTTGGGCTGATCTGCGATTCTTGAAGTTACAAATTCGTTGTAATCCTCACTCGAGAACTGGTTACCAGAGGCATGCAAATAAATCACTTGTGTCGCGGCGGCGCAGATTTTGCTAAAAATTACACGGTAAAGATAGATGCAAGTCCGGCCTTATTTATCTTCAGAATTGGATCATTACGCATTTTCATGCATCCAATAACTTTCTAGCAGAGAAGTTATACTGATAAAAAGAAATAAAGGTAAAAGTTCGGATGAAAATAAATGACACTTGATATATGCTACAAGGATTCTGGTTGTGCTGTTACATTGGTTACTAAAAATTATTCAACTTAAGAAGCGAATGCAAAATTAGGTCACATGGCTCTGTTAGAGATCATAAAAACTCTGATCTGTTTATTTTTTACATGCTCTTAGCGAACGAAATTTCCCGTGTAAAAGAAACGTTGAGGGTAACAGGGAGTATGCAAAGCGATAGGTAGGTGCACTGAGGAAGCCCATTAGTTTAACTGCCACACAGTTAGGCAATAAAAAGGGACCCGTCTAACAATGCAATATTATGGAGGTGGAAGCGCCAATTTGTGGGAATGGAAGCAGAAACGCCCCATACTTTCCTTTTAATCTTAGGATGTTCTGCAATTTACGATTTTCGTCACTAACCTCTTTTTGCTAAACCTTTTCAGTAATTCCTGCACATTATATTTATAGCAAATGCTGTAAATATTAAAGCAGCATCAAAATATTACATACAGAAATTTGGGTGGTAAAAGCTGAAAAAAGTTCTAAACAAATAAAATAGTATTCAAAGCATTCAATGCCATGAGACCGAAAATAAGGAAGGGGATAATAATTCATGCTTGGTTTATGTGGAGCAATTTAGTGGGAATAATGGATTCAGGTATTCGTTGATCGCCTTTTTGATGGTGCGTTTGCAGAAGGCATACGGGCATACATTGCAAAGGCATTCCCAGTAAACTAGTTACATTGTATAATGCATGTCAATGCACAAGATAATGGGTAATGGAATATAAAAGTTTCTTTATTACTTCACGGCAAGGCTTTCGAGAAAAATTGCATAAGACACATAGCCAACCAAATTAAATTTCGTGAACATTTCCATGACATTCAATTTCATAACTGAATGACATAGTCTATTTTGGTTATATCTTGTGCGTATTCCTTTCTGTGATTTTTTAGGTTACTGTTCCACCCGCGGTACGTTTGAATGCCACGTAATTCGAGGCATTGTAGTTAACCGAATTTACCCTTTAGAACTCGTGGTTAACTACCCAAAAATTCACTGGCACCCCTAGAGTGCGCAAATAAAATGCTCAAAAAGACTGGCTAGTGACCTGGCGTAAGAATATCTTCACCATAACGACAATCTGCATCAAATACCTTTTTAATCATGCGCATCTCGAAATCCCCAGTGTTCATAGAAATCGGCGCCTGACTATCCTATCTCGACACTAAAAGCTGGGAAGTTGATTGATGCTGGAAAATCCCCCAGTCTATGACCGAAAAGTGCACGCATTTGTGCTTGACCAGGGGAAATATCAGTTACGTCAAGTTTTCTCGCAATACCACATTATGGAACTTGAAACAAGAAGTACCGAAATCCTGTTCCTATAAACTGCTCCCTATTTTGTTATTTGACTTGCAATGGACTACTGGTCGTGAGTGAACCAGTTAAGTCGGTGAAAGTGAGGTAATGGGCTAGTGATGGTCTAAACATTGACTTTGGAGCGACGTGCGCGTTGGCTTGATCACGCTACCTGCTGATAAAAACACGTGTGTTGTTTATTTCGCAGCAGCTCATTTGAAATCTGGTTGAACGACTTTGTTTATACGGGTTGCGCAATGTGTAATATATGGAATTGAATGAGTTCTATTATATGATAAAATAAAGTAACTAAAAGAAGCAAAAGCTAACCCAGTTTGCGTACCCAATAGTTGTGATGATTGTCTTTAATGGCCACTTTGTCACAATCACAAAGGTAGTGAAGGGTGATAAGTGCACTTGTTTTGCTGACATTGTAGGCAGTCCTCCATCACATTGCAGTGACGGAATAGCAGTAAACCATACCTCAGCTACACATCTTATACACATGGCTGAAAAATGCTAATAAAAGTTGGGGCTCCCATTTTTGGAGCTTAGCAGGATAAATCTAGAATATTTGCCATCTTCGATTAACCGCTGCATAATATTTCTGCATAAAACTTGAAATATTGCTTGTAATGGTGCAACCTTATAACTCATAAAGTGAATGCACGAGTCGTAAGATCTGGTTCTATTATCTAGATTTATTTATGTCTAAAACGTGAAAAAACTAACTCTTCACTGAATACAGTTTGCAAGAATCTCAGACCGACGGGGAATGCGTATGGTTTCTGTTGCCTTATTTACAAATGAAAAATTAGTACAAGAGCGGTTGCGTATTGTTGGGACAGAGACTAGAAAAGACAAGCTTTTGGGCCTTCACGCAAAAGGCTTCACTGGCAAACACTGCCGGGCTAGCAGAGGGTCGGACAGTCAGACAGACAGGCGTGTTCAGTGGGACAGACAGGCGACCCTGATGCGTCTGTGGTGGTAGTGTGTGCGTACACGTGAGTGCGTGCGTGCCTGCGTGCATGCATGACTGCCCCCTCCGGGGCGGTGGGGAAGAGGTTAGAGGACGAGAGAAAGGCGATCGTTCACGCACATCACCCGCTGTGGGTCAGTTTAACACCGGGATCCGCCAGCTCTGTTGACATCGTTGTTTTGAAAAGGCACGATACCGTCATCTCGTGAATTCTCCATTCGCCGAGGCATAATTGCGTAGGATTAAGTGGCTGCATTAATCGCCTTACCTCTTGTAAGTTTGCCTCATTTATCGTTAACTTCGTTTCTGTATTACATTTGCACGAAATAATTTAATCTCTTGCACATGAATTGTTATTGTGGTGAGATTATAGCACGTTCACATAGTTTCCGAACACCCGCCCCCAAAAAAGTGGAGGCTTGGAAGTGGCACCAACTCAGATTTGAATGCACTCGTATGCAACAGCATTGAGTGTTACGTGTTTTTGCTAGAGCAATGTACTAAGAAATTGAATTTGATGTGTTCCGCAGAACCTTATGCATATTTTGGGGGCCGAAATGTTTAAATAGGATGGGTCACACTTTCAGTACCAAAAAGAAATTTAACAGTAAGAAACCAAATAATTCGTAGTTTTATTAAGGGCCACGCTCCGATTCAGAAACTGTGAAAATGCACCGAATTTCCCAAGTCACAGAAAAATTCACCTAAATGGTCTGATCTGGCGCGAATTCTGGACTGTCTCTGATGTATGGCAATGTACTTGTCATTCAATATAAAACTCAATAATATTCAGTAGAATAGGAATGTAGACATAGTACTTTTGCAATGGCTGCCTCGCCGTGGATAAAATGGTAGAAATGGAAGCCCGAAGTATCACCTCTCATCAAGGCTCGGGAATTGAGTTTTGCCATCAGCTACCTTGTGTTCCGGTCAAATTGTTAGTTAACAAGACGTGTCTGAATACAAAAAACACGCACTACTGAATTAGAGGTCGGTGTTTTTTGTTGCAATATCAATTTATAATTTTTGCTAGGTTAGTAGAAGTATGGCCAAAGACAGGTAGATTTTGTGCGAATCGCAACCTATTGGTTAAACTTTTATGGAAGTGTTTACGTACTTATAAAAATCCAAGTTTTAGGTCTGTGGTTTGACGGACTTGAATGAATGTTCTGTCAATCGCACAAATTCCAGATTCATGAAGCCAAATCGTACTGTTAAAGAACAAGAGAATCTCGAGTAGATTTTAAGGGTTTACTAACCTTAAGTTGTGCAACCACCCATTAAAAGTATTTGAATGAGATGAAATTCTATTCAAAATAGATGATAATGGCGATTCAGTTTTTGGTTGTTACGGGTCCATTTGAATTGTAACTGGCTTTAAATGCTAGTCACATTTGTGTACGGTACGGAATCAGACGAATCTTAATCATTCGAACTATATTAGAGTCAATCTAGGTAGTAAAAATATGGAAAACACATTTCTCGGTTAAATGTTTTATTTCAATTGAATACTTGGCACTGCTCTGGTTCTGTGCACAAAAATGTAGGTGAGAATACTAGAATTTACGGCTTGAATTTACGCGAGTATATACATGGACATAAAGTGGAATAAAGAGACGGCATTGAATGTGGCATCTTGTAATTATCTTTCTACGTTCTAGTACGACCAAGACCAAAATGACTGGAGCGGAATCTGGTGAGAATTTTCAGTGCACAAAATGCGAAAAGTCCCTGGTGGGCCAGCGATACATCCTGAATTCGGAGAAACCCTACTGCATCGACTGCTACGACGCCAACTTCACCAACACATGTGCCGCCTGTGGCGAGAGGATAACCTCCGCTTCAAAGGTACGATTCTAAAACCTTCTTAGCCCTTGTTTTGTGCACAACAGTAAAATGCGTTTAAATTCACTGTAACTACTACGAAGATCATTAATAATAAGGGGAATTCTAGACACATTTTATCTTCAGTGGTGGATCAGTTTTTGTGCAACAGCAAAGCAATCGCTCACTCCAGTGACACACAGTATACATCGTATCACTGAAGTATTACTATAAATCTTACCAAGAGTGACTAATATACCCTTCATAAGCCTTTACTTTTTTAGGGTAAGAGGTAGACCTCGTAAACGTGTATTTTGGCAAACCAGAAATCATGTCTCTGGAAAAAGGTAAAAAGTTATGGTCAATTCATGACACAATACAGTTATGTAGGCGGTGCTCACAACGAGAGCCTTTGCGAACCACATTTGAAGCATTTTAGCACTCTGAATTGGGAAATTTGCCATTATTCAAAATAACGATATGAGACTAAGTTCAAAATTTTACAGCTGAAAAGGTACAAGGGAATGGAATGAAAAGCTTAGCTATTTTAGTTTATCAATAAACTCGGATTGAAGACAAAGACGCCCTGATGACAGAGAAAGTGCATTTGAATGTGAAGATAGATAATTGAAACAGTGATAACAGTTTTTTTTACCGTAAACTTATGCATTTACTCTCCCAGGGTGCTAAAAATATATTTCTCTCGGGGAGCACAACCAGTGTACAGATTACTGTGCGGACTACTTATGGCGCAATGCATGCCGCCTTGATAACATCTTTGCATCACGCCACTATTTTATCAGCTTGATAACATTTGCGCTGAAACTCGACTTCAGATCATTAAGGTCCGTTTGAATAAAAAGTTTTTTGTAAGATCTCTATATGTTTTGAGGCTTTAAGAGTTTCACGTAAACTATGATTTTTACTGTCAGGGTGGTCTCGCGCAATGACAATGGATGTGTAACATTTGCCCTCCATCGTCCCCACTTGCATGTATTGGATGGTCCGCATCAGTTTTTATGAAGAGAATACAAGTACAAAATGCGAAGCCATAGATTGCGTCAGCTCGTCACAAAAATAGCAAGGCCCTAAAAGTGTTCCAAAGAAATCTCTGGCGAAGCAAGGAAAATACTAGCTCCATACCAAACGGTTAATGTCCACGATGCATTGGGTGGCCTCTGACTTAACTTACACCTCTTAATTGTAGAGTGTACGTGACTGACAGTGGGGTAAGTTTGTGATAAAGTTCACCTTTGTTTAGTAAGAACTAGCTCTTCATGGTGTTTCGGCATTCAAACTGACTAATGCATGAGGTTAATAAATGTTCAGACACTAATTCAGTAGGTTCATGCAAGGCATTGGATCAAGCCAGAGAAATAAGCTATTCCGAGAGAATCATTTGGCAAATTTTTATAAAGTCTAATGTAAGTAATAGTGACAATTTGTGAATGTGAAAAGGACCACCCCGTTACAAAGTGTAATTATTAGGGTCAGAGACTGCCTAAGGTGCTTAAATTAGTAGTTTTGATCAAATGAACAAAGAAACAAAAAGGATCTAGAATTCACAGGAAGGAACAAAGTGAAGTTGTGCCTTTTGACACCTGGTGGGAAGTAATTGCCGAACCTAATTGTCAAATTCGATTTATAATTATTAAAACTGAAATTCTTGTAAAATTATAAAACTCTTATTGAACATAAACCTTGATATATTTTGAAAAATGAGGTCTCAAATGAAGATTTCAGTCAGCTCACGAAATAGAAAATCCCATTAAAATAAAAAAAGAAATAGGTAATGCGAAATAGACAGAACAGCAAATGAAACAGAGAACAGATGAGGACAAAATACTTTGATGAAAAGTGTGTCGTCCTTAGGCTAAGGGGTTTTTGGCTTTTACACGCTTAGGACCTCTCCTTCCAAGACCGCCACTGGCACGAAGCCTGTTTCGTGTGCATGGAGTGCAAGACCTCGCTGGCCGACCGACCCTTCGCGACGAAGGAAGAGGCAATATTCTGCCCTGATTGTTTTGACGAGAAGTTCGCTGCGCGTTGCGACGGCTGCGGGAAGACCTTCAAGGCGGCAATGAGGAAGTACGAGTACAAGGGGGGCGCATGGCACGAGGAGTGCTTCCTCTGCGCCGAGTGTCACCAACCTATCGGTGCGAAGAGTTTCATCCCCCGCGGCAATGACATCATCTGCGTGCAGTGCTATGAGGACAAGTTCGCGCAAAAGTGTGCCAAGTGCGAGGCGGTAAGCAAGACATCAGTGCCATTAACTTACTACCATTCCCACCCATGTTCCGTAATTCGGAATCATCCCCCACCCCATTCTCTTCCCTCTCTCCACCAGCACAACTTTAGCTGTTGCCTAGTGAATGTTAAGACCGATTGCGTAACAAGCGGTGCAGAATTCCCAGCAAGAGGAGCGTAGGTTTTGTAGTCAATTTGCCTTTTTTAAAAGGACTTCAGAACTATTAATGATAAAGGAGGACTAATGCGGAATGAGGCGGATAATCATTTAAACCCTTTTGAGTATTTCCACGGTAACATTCCTGCGAAGGTAAAAAGAATGTAAAAATCATAACCAAATTGTTAAACCACTTGTCCGGTCTACGATCTTGCTATATAGAAAAGGAGACCCCTAATTTTTCAGAAAGATCGTGAAATTTCAGTTGGTGCCTTGGAATAATTAATTAGGGAAGGAAAAGTATAATTACAGCTGACAATAAGTAAATTTGCACTTGAAATTATATGTGAGCATTTTATCCGAACTGAAACATTTTCGATTTCCAACTATCACAAGACAGTAATAATGTCCAAAATTTGGGAATGCAATACTTTGTCGAAATAAGTATTTGGGAACCTTATTACTAGTTGCTTGGTGCAAAAATGTATCATACGTAAGTAGGGTAAAATAAAGGAAGATTAGGTGTCAGTGGCTACTTAATCATTCAATGTAAATGTTGCACTACAGAGCGTCCATCAACGCTGCCGCCTAGCAAAAGATATTTTTGATGGACTGTCATCAATACTTCTTGGTTGACTTACTCTGATTGGCAGTGTTTACTTTAGTTTTGTTGTTAGTGTCTTGACTGAACACTAGAGAAACATTTTCAGCTGCCCTTGAAATCCATCAAACTAGGCTGTTTATAGCAACGAATCAGAACCCCACAGTTACGTCATCTGAATACCCGTTTGCCCGTTACACGGCGAATCACCAGTTTTCTTTGCGGATAAAACCGATGTTTTTCCCAATAATATTTTGCAGAAACGAGTGACCTAAAGCTTTCAACTATGATAGCTCTGCAAAATGTAACGAATATTAAAGTTTTGCCACAACGAAACATAGATTGGAAGGAATTGAAAAGAAGCTCATTGAGCTTGAAAGTAATTGCTTATGCGAAGAAGTGATACCCTTGTAGACTGCAGTTTCCATGCTCCAATACCATCTGCTTTGGGTTACAGACTGACCTTAACTTCCATAGTCAGGCTGTTATCTTGTTGCGGTTTCAGGTCATAAATAAGGGTGGTATCACGTATAAGGGACAGCCGTGGCACAAAGAATGCTTCCTCTGTGCCAATTGCGGTAACCAACTTGCGGGTCAGAAATTCACGTCCAAGGATGACAAAATTTACTGCGCTAACTGCTACTCTGAGCTCTTTGCAAAGCGGTGCTCTGCGTGCTCAAAGCCCATTTCTGGTACGTGATTTGTCTGAAAAATAATAGGTCTTATGCCATCGTATCAACGAATACTAGAAATTTTAGCCTCGGAATTTCCGCTACACTAATTCTCTCCCGAGTCTAAACTTTCGCATCGGCTTCTGTCGATCCTAAGTGTACATTGGTGCGTTAAAAACCAATCACCAAGCGGGATTTTCACTTGTAAAAATACTTTTGATTAATCCCAAGTAAAAAACACTCAGAACATTATGTGAAAAGCATCCGAGTGGTTGAGCATAGACAGTTCCAGAATATAAGAGGCTTATACCATGCTAATGAAGAACCGGTTTAAATATTTCTGAGCTACAGAAGGTAAAGGTTTGAAGTATGCAACTGTTGAGCAACTTAGATTTAGGGAATGATATAAATGACGAGTCCGTATTATAAATAGCTAGTGTTGACTTTAAAACCCAGAATTGCTTCTATGTCATCCACTAATGAATAAACATTTAATAAATTTAAACAAGAGAGTAGCTAAAAGGGCATGGAAAGAACTTCTTTGATAATTGCACGTCATTTTGAAAGAAACACACCAGTTTACAAAACAGGTTATTAGGTGGATTTGGAGCCAATCGAATCTCCGAATTTAGCCCACCGACTCCCAAGGAATTTCAATTAAAGATGGGATAGGTACGCATGAATTGATGTAGTTGAAGACAGAGGTGTGAATAACACATGCAAGCTCGATTTTGCCTGAAGTATCCATTTATCATACTTTGTCGAAAGGAACATTGAAGGACTGTAAAAAACATACTAACGCCACTTTTCCCTTATTTTAAGGC